AGGTGTTTAAGAGGAACATATAGTTAGCAACATTTAAAAGGAATATTCTTGTAATTTAGTTTTACTTAAAAGTAAGTTACGGCCTTGAAGATGCTCGCAAGCCCCGGGCTGCTACATTATTAGTCAAAAAACTATGAAGTTGGGCAAGAATCTCAGTAAGTGAGAGTTATCAAGACATTAGCGTATGCCAAAAGCGAATTAAAAGGGAAGTATACAGTAGCTTACTTTTTTGTATTGGAGTATGTTAAAACGCAACGTAAATAACCAAAAAGGAAACTAAGGCAAAAGGCGGAAAAAAACTTGCCAACCACTGTTTTAAAATCCAGCTTAGCATGTATGTAGCAAAGGCAAAATAGCTTCCAAAAAATAATACGCACTCATTATAGTTAATCAAAGATAGTATATAACTGTACGTACCAGCAGGTTATAGGTAAATACTTGATTTGAGTGTCTAGGGTTCAACTGACACAATTCAGCTCTCCTTTTCGGTCTTTTATATGTGCATACCCTCGCCCTTATAAATTTTAATTAAACCTTTCTCTAGACCCGCTTTACATTGGTCCTTAGTGCGAGCGAGTGAGAGTCTTCGCTGTCCTCTCTTCGATAAAATTGTTTTCCTATTTAAGAGAAATAAGTTTACAGATACTCCAGCAGATTAACCAAAACTGATTTAAAATGACCAATCACAAAGTGGGATACTTAGCAACAATTATTGACCTGTTTATAAATAAATTTTTCTATCTCGATAAAATTCATAAAACGCAACTACAATACTTTAAATGACCTTTAAAAGAATTTTTTTATGAATTTTTGAGGTAACTGGTATGAAGCGGTTTGTTAAAATAAAGCTCGAGGTGCTATCCATATCTGTGATAAGAATAGAAGAAGGATGCTTGATGTTCGCTATTTCGTTAGCCTGATCATGGTGAAATTCTTTAACTATATATCCATAAACTTGGTCTTCTACTTAGTATAATTTATCAAATTAATAAGAAGTAACTATTAAAGGGCTGGCTATATTCTTTTTTCCATTTTGCGAACATCCCATTGACTGTAGGGCCAGTACTTTCATTTTTTCCACTTGTAAACTTTACCTGCTCTTTGATAACTTTTAACTTAACATTCAATAACTTCTATTAAGAAATCCCTAATTAAATAAAATGGTTTTCTTTCTTGATATAATTATCCCTATTTATCTGCTTGTAAGAAAGTAAAGTTTATTAGCTCTATTTCCTCAAATATTTAAAACCTAGTTTTTGAAGACCTTTTATATAAAGATTTAGGAGAGATGATATAAAATTCGTTTTAACAGGATTCTTAAATTAGCTGCATCAAGAGTTGATGGTTCGTAATAGTGTGAACGACAAAGGCTGTAATCCCTTTAAATAGATCAGCGGTAGATCAGCTTCTAGTTAAGATATTTAAACCTTTATATCTTTGGTAAATGAGCGCTTTTCTCTTCTTACGCTAAACTCCAACCCACCTTGTCAAACCTTTGTTGGCAGTATAAACATAGGGCAAAGTCTTTCTTAAGCAAAATTTAGTTATTTTCTTTCCTTCTTTAGAATAAGTATAGACACAATTTATGACTCGACCTCTGAAAAACCTTTTCCCTCATAAGCTTTTTTCTAGCTATTAAATAAACGTCTTCTTGCCACTTTGATAATAGGGATACTTTCTGCTGAAAGAACGCGCAGACGGATATGTGATGACAAAGTAAAATAAAATAATAAATGGTCCCTTGCTTGAAAAAAGGAGGTAATATAAAGTGTTTAAAATATTTAGTAAAAAAAAAAATATTTAACAAAGTATTTACTTAGTCGTCCTTCTACCCCATAAGCTATTTACTAACTTCAACTATAACGCCCTCTAGCCTTCTAGACTAAAAAACTATTACCTTTATAATATATCGCTGGTCCTCTAGACCAACCTAAAACTAAAACATTGAATGCTTGGTAAACTCCGAAAAAGGAAGCAAAGTAAAAAAGCAGGATTAAAAAAAAGGGCACACTATCCTTTCTTCTAGTACTTATCACCTATCTTACCATTTGGTAAGATTTTAAACGATTTTCGTTAATACATATGATTCGGAGAGATTTCTACTGTTTATTGGTAGATGTATTAAAAAATTGGTAACAATTTCCACAGGAATTTGGGGACGTCTCCAAAAAGTTGCCTTCAGTGGCACTATTTGAAAGTTTTCCACATTTAACGTCTTGGAAGTTTGCATGCATACAATATTTTTTTTAACTTTTACAAGCCGGGGATTAGCAACATTGTAAATTTTTTTTCAATCGTTTGATGCTTGTTTTAAAAAAAAAGCAGCGTAGTTCATGGCTTCAGACATAAAATTGGCTCTTAGAAGAATAGCTTTCGTTGTAGATCTCAATAAATCGTTGTATCTCACCACAATTATGTGGCGGCGTGTTTTGAGCTGTGTAGTCAGGATTTATACTGAATTTGCCCATTAAAATACATGCGCCGGAGATAAACTCGATACCATTTGTCCGAGTGAACTTTCCTTAAGCCATACCTAATACCGGTATAGTATTATCTAGGAAGCGCGCTACAAAAACTGAAATATCCACTTTATAGTTCGTAAATAGCCATACGTACTCTTTCGTTTCCACACTTAACAGATCTTAGTCTTTCTGAAAACGTTATCAAAGCGTTAAATTGTAAAATAGCTACAATTCTTGTACTCTTAAATGTTTAGGGAGCCTCACGTAACGTATGACTAAAAGGAATAACTTTGAAGGCAAACTACAATATTTCTTCGGATATGATATGGTTAATTGAGTTTTTTTACAAGATAAAAATTTAGAGTCAAAATAGAAACCTTAACCTCCGATTTGTAACCCATTTCTGCAGGTGCCCCACAGGACTTCATTTGTCCTTGATATCTTAACAGTTCCACTGATTCCCTTGCGTAGTAGGCTGATGAACTGCAAACTAAACAAGTTCTAAATCAGTTCCGTTGGTTATAAAAAATATGGAATCATACTTAGACCTACTTTAAAGCTGGATTTATTTAAGAATCTAATTAATCAAAGAAAATGCAATTTCTTACTGATCTCGCAGGGCTGTTAACCTGTGGGAGAGTGCAAAATCCTCATGGACTTATATATACATCGTGTGGTCCATAACCGCATGAACATAGGCATTCTTAACATGAAACTGTAAACAATTTAGGTGAAAATGAAATGCTGCAACCTCCATTAACCTAATAGTTTCTGTAGAGATAACCGGAGACGTAAATTCTAGGTAGTCGAAATTTTTTGATTGAGTGAAGCCCCTCAGGCATAATGGCCTGGGTTTTAGTCTCCCAGTTTTTTTTACAGAACTGCTCCAGGTAGTCATTTTGAGTTCTTATTCAGTTGGCATTTTAGAAATTTCCCATGTTTTGGCCTTTTCCTAAGAATTTAATTCTTTTGTCATGGATGCTTTCCATTCTTCATTTGGCATAGCCCTGCAAGGAGTCTTGGGAATATATCTGTCAGCATTTATGCCCATTATTTCGGATCTCTCATAACTTGTAGATATTAATAAACAACATTCCCATTATCTTCTATCAAGCCGTATCCCTATTATCAAATATAATACATAATAAACTTTTCCTTCTTTATGAATTACCGTTTTTACAGTCCCTGTAAACCATTTGGCCTTTCTTCTTCTGTCTATAAATTCATGCAGTACTTCAACTATTGTGGCAGAATCCATAAGAATAGTCTGGATCCTCTGTTTATGAAGTATAACTTTCTTTTAATACTAGTACCTGGCCCTTAATATCGAACTCTGTTTTCCTCTTTTCTCCATATTGAGTTTTTAATGATGAAATTGGCAGGGACTATAGGGCTTTATAATGATAACTTTCTCTTCAATCAATTATACTCTCCCAGTTTTCAAGTTTATAACTTCTAGATGTTATAATTTTCTTAATGATAGGATCATGAAACCTCACGCAACCAGCGCATGTGCCAAGGTTGGTTCCTAAAAGTATGCCCTACGAGAATTAGAGGAAATTTTACCCTTAGGAAATACACGATAACATACTTTAGCCCCAAACATAATTAAGTAGGTCGCTTTTGGTGTCATTTTGTAAAAGCGTTTCCATTCGCCAGAGTGTACGTTAATAATAAAGGCAGCATGGTTAATTGCTTAGGCCCAAAAACTCGTGTTCGGGTTTAACCTTCTGAATGAAGTCTTTAGTCGTTGTCTTTAATAAGCGGTTAATTTTTTCACTCAACGGGTTACGAGATGGGGTAATAGGGGCTGTAGAAATTCTTTGTATTTTTCTCTGAAAATATATTTCTTTAAAACATCCTTTATCGACTTTCCCATTATCAGAGTGTATACATTCGACATCATAGCCATATCCAAAAATTTGTCCTTTTCATAGGAATCAAATGACTTTATCTTAATCGGAAAAACCCATAAAACCCCTTGGTGCTTTTGCACACAATGGTGATAACATATTTGCCATAGCTCAAAGATGCTACCATGGTCCACTAAGATCAATATCTAAATGAGATTCTAATCGCAGTTCATCATAATTCTGGGTTAATACTCGTTTGACTGACTTCGTATGAAGATCCACTCCAGCGCAGGTATTGCACTTGGTTTCCTCCAAAATACTACGTAAATGTAAGATTTATCAAAAAATACTTTTAGTTTTCTTCTTTAAGATGACCCATAATATCATGACATTCAAATCGATTTCATTGCAATGTTTTTAGATAAATAATCACACCCGTTGTTAATGCCTTGGTACCACTGTCTGAGGTGTTTTACATTCCAGTTCTTCAAATTTTAAACTACTAGCTTCTACACACCTGCATTTTTGATTTAAAGACCAATATGTTACTTTGGTGGCTAAGCGAGCCCACGCTTACAAGGTGTTTATCAGTGGCATCAGGAATAAACAGAGTCTTACCCTTACAAAAGTTGCCCAAACTTTTAACTTCTGCACAAACCACTCATTCCAGTGTGTCAGCCACCGGTTGAAGTTCACGAAGTTTTTATTATTAATACTATGATACCTGGCTCCGGATCCAAATTAATACCTTCCATTGTATCTGAGTGCTTGCTCATGTTAAAATAAAACCCTCTCTCGCAGTCCTTAAAAGGATTTGTGCCATTTATAAGTTTTATTCAGACATTATACCGAGGAGATCAATTCTGCCGATTTTAAGCAATTCAACCCATTTACTTTAACGAAACAATTATTACTGTCGCTATTTATCCTTACCGGAGCGTATACATCGTTGTGTTCCAAAGGTTTCTTTTACTTAAGTTACTTAAATAACCTGAATTACTCGCTTTTAAGGTAATTTCTTCACTCTATGAGCTCACAGAATCCTGTTTTGCCGTTATTTCCAAGCAATAGCAGTGGTCACTAATTCATCAAATGTTAATTTTTCTCTCTCATGACTTCTTTTTAATATCATATCTTTTTGAAAGTCTTTTCATACGTTGTCTGAGGGAGAGCTCCTAAAATCTATTGATGTTCATTCTCTCGCTTGCTGTGGTGCTTTTGTATTGCATTCTACTCTGGAGCAGAGAAGATAATTCTATATGCTAAAGGTTATACATATTTATTTCCTTTCTTTAACATTCACTAGCTCCTCCTCAAGAGCTAACAACATTCCATCTGAAAACTGTATTAAATTTTTCATAAAGAGCTGCCTATAATTCTTTTGGTTTATATACAACTATTAATGGAATTGTTGCCCTTAATTTAAGGGACTATGCTCATAAGACTTTCATCAATATTTTTTAAAATTAAGCTCCACGCAATTCCAAGTTTTCGTTTATCGCTACACAAAGTACTTGAAACAGCACTTTGGTCAATCTGTTTCTAATTTTAGTTTTAATGAGCACCAGCACCTATATTAGGCATAAAGTTTGGATTACTGTTATTCCTAACTACTTTCTTTACAAGTGACAATTATTATGAATATAGCATCAACTTACACTTAAACAAACTATTAATCCTAGTAAACGCGCACGGTTCATTACTAACCGCAGTAATTCTGCGCCTTTAAAATATTAGTAAGCTGAAACCTGCCTGTTTGGATCCATACAGTGCTTTTAGCAGTTTTAATGTGAGCAACTTACATGATTGATCTTCTCTGGTGCTCTCAGGTCAAGTATCCTGGAATAGTGTATTGATCAAAAGTTCAAGTAAGGCGAAGGCTTAGCCTACTTAACTAACAACTAGGGCTATTGGTAACGTTTTGTACCCTCTATTATGTAAAAGGAGCAAGTTAAATAATAGTAATAAGTTTCTATATAAGTGCATGTTAACACCAGATTTATGTATGCTTCTTCCTCTTGGATCTACTCATTTCTGAGACACTTAAATAAACTACAGGCCCTACAAAACAATTTTCTTTACGCTGTACCTTCCCCGTGGCTTAAAAAAGACTTGCCTCTGCTCCGACACTATAAGCTTGGATTTATCCCGAAAGTGATTAAAAACAACCCAACAAACGCTTTAGGCAGGCCAGCACTCGCTCTAACAAGTTGCTATCTATGATAAACCTACAATCCCCTGTAGTATAATAAATATATAGGAGATCTAAGCACCTGTTGTTTTTTTCTCCATTAGCTGATAAACTTAATCCTTATAATAATACTTCTCCCTTTAAAACTACCAATTTTTATAATAATAATAATAGTAATACTTTAATAATGATAGTAAGAGTAAAAATAATCATAAATGAAAATTTATTAAATAATAGCTAAAAAAAATGTAACTGTATGTGCTCTATACTAAATGACTGTAAAAGGTTAATAGTCCACCTCTGGATGATACCTCTTCAACACATTACTTCAAAGGAAATAAGGATTATTAAACAGTAAAAATGAGTATAGATTTAGACTGTAGAAAGTCTACTCCTTAAATAAAAGAATACGTACGCTTATGTATTAAGGGTGTGTTTGAATATCTCTTTTTCTTTCGAATGTGCTTGGTGACGTTTTTTTAATAGTGTGTTTTTGGGTTCTGTCCAGCAAGGTTGCCCGTGGAAAAACAAGTATCCGCACTTTATCATCCATAGTTAATTATTATGTATAACATGAAGGTACTGCGCAACCAGCCTCCATTCTCTTTGTTTTTTAAGTTCAGTTTGCAGGTAAGTTCGATATAAAGAAACGTATACGATTTGATTACGGTAAGAGAAAACGGGCCCAATTTATATAAAACATGTCATAAGTAACAACCATCTGCACTAAATAGATTTCTGGGTAGTTAAGTGATGACCTATATACTGTCAAGACTCCCCTCTAATTCTAATTTGAATACTGCAAAATCATTACCTTTCAGAGTGTGATACCATTGTGAAGGCAGTCCAACGCCTTCAAGATATTGATTCCATGTAGGGAGTGATAAATTAAAACGTAGCCATAGGTAAGAAAAATTTGGACACCTGGGTGGATCAAGTCAGCAAGGATAGCGATTGCCGTAATAGTATGTGACTAAGACTAAATGATGTGCTAGGAGTATCCAGCGCAGAGGTCATTAGAATATCTTTCAGATGTTACGTTTATTCCCAGGATTTTGGAAGGATTTATTAATATAAAGTTAAAGCCGATAGGTATTGTAGATTAACTTTGGTAGAAGCTTTAAGAGGTAAAAAATAGATCAGTGATAAAGTGTTTTAAAAAATTAAGTAACATCTACCTACAAAAGTTAATCATGACCAGCATTCGATCTTCAAAAATAAGGTATTAGTGGAGTCCCTTCATAGGCTAAAAATCAAGGAATAGCTTACTACTATCAACCACCATCAATCTAACGGAATGACTGGAAGGCTTATCAATTAATTAGAAAAGCGCTTTTGAAAAACTAGTATAACAAGAAAGCTCGAATGAACAAGTTTAATAAATGAACATATGAATATACCAGAACTCCTAATGCACTGGGGGCTGCGCCTGTCTATAGGATGTTCAAAGAGAAGCGAAGTTATAAAAAGTTTGATGTGCACGAAGCTTGGAAAAAGGTGTTGGTGGTGACTGTTTATCGTATCTGAGTCTGAATGAAAACACTGAAAATGTAGATACTTGAAGATGAGGTGGACTGAAAGACATAAGCAGTTAGATGTAATAATAATATACAGGCGCTATGATTATAAAATAGCTTTTTCGTAGCGTATAAAAGTCGGCGACTTAACAAATATTGAGTACCTAGGGTGCAAAGTTAAATAGAAAATTTTGGAAGGAGCCTGCGCGATTAACACACTTAAATATAGGTTATAAAATTTGAATTTTGCAAAAAAGAGTTTTAGTTAAACAGAAATCAAATTAAGATATCAAGCATACGTATATCAATTATAATAAAACCTTGAGAAAACTGGGAATTAAAATTTACATAAGTGAGGTATTTAATAGTAATGGTATGACTGAAACTGTCTTAAAGCATTAGATAATTAAAAGGTGAGGACTTGCCTGGGCAGAGTATGAATGGCTGGATTAACTATAAAAGTAATTATAAAAAATCCTTTTAATGTATCAATGGAAGAGGATTTTTCAAAGTATAATGAATATCTAGGGATTGAAAAAAATATCTTTGCCCCGAACAATTTAAATATACTAACTGCAAGTATGTCCTGGATATTAAAGAGGATCAAATTCGAATATAATGTATACTAAAGTTGCTTGTTTTTTCTTTTTATTAATGACTTTTTGCGGAAACTCAGTAAGTCGAGCGCAGAGCGCCTAAATCTTGTTTTGAGAGCGAGTATGCACCCGTATATCTCCAGGAGGAGTATCAAAAAATATTCCGATTTCCTAGGGAGGAAGGGAACTACGTAGTTAGACTCTTGGCCGCCCTCCGCAGTACTAAATTATGTTTCTGGAGATTTGACTTCTCAGGTCGGACGGATCGAAGTGCTTTTATTAGTGCATTTCCACCGTTATTTGTTTTTATTTAGTTATTTATAAATGAAAGTTACTGGTGCTCGATCAAGTCAAAAAACTTTGTAAACTCCCGAGCTCTCAATCAGGAGTGATCGCAAACATGTTACATGATAGTTTTTAATCGAAAGGGTGTCATTATTTTCTTGACATTAACAAACAGAAACTAGCGCTAACGTGCTTCACGTGGGCGGTGATAACATCCTCCCCCCTCCCTACCCCATGACTCGTAAATAAGTTCGCTCGCCAGCAGCGATTAGCGCTCCTGGTTATCCTGTCGTAAAGGAAATTGGAATTCGTTGGCAGATGACGTCTAAAGGGTCGAGCTGAAGGTCCAGGTGAAGAACTTCATTTCGCACAAACCGTGCAGCAATTTTTTCTGACGCACTTGAAGTGCCGACTCTTTGCAGTGGAATGATAGGTCCAAGCAGCAGACGCGTATATCATTATGGGCTGGATGTAAGACATACAATTTCCGTATGTTTTGCAGAGAAAACTTGCTCCTGCCACATAGTAAAGCGTGAAGCGCCTTAGTTGCTGCCTTGACCTTCGCCAATACATAGTCCATGTGAAGCTACCAGGAAAGTTTGCTGGTCAATGATGACTCCCAAGTATTTCGCTCGAGCACACGGAATCTTCACGCCATCAAAGATTAAGGGCACCAATAAAGGGACACTTTTCTTAGTAATTAAAAGTTCTTTGCTCTTCATCACATTTATAGCAACTTTCCAATTAAGGCACCGGTCAGCAAGAGCGTCAATATAGCTCTATAGATGATTGCATAGCAAGGCGGCAGATTTTAACGATGAGTAAACGGTCGTAGCATCGGCGTAGAGGGCGCAGCGGAACAAGGCATCCCGAGCGTCAACGATTTCTTTCAGACGGCGCAGTAAATCGGTCTCACCCTCTTTGCCGACTACTGACAGGAACTGATGGATCGATACCAACTAGTTGCTGATTCCGGTTTAAGTGTCATTGGCAGCATCACAGTGGTCGCCGTCTTCCATTGGATTGAAGAGGCGCCAAGGCCCATCGCAGCTTTTACTAGAAAGTACAGATAATGCATCCCTGTGAATAGCAATTCCTTCAGCATCTCTTAGTGACGCCATCGGGGCTGGCGCTCTTTGTTGGGGTAGCGCTGCTTGAAACTCGCCAACATCAACTAGCTCAAGTAATATGTGGACCTCGGGGTGGGGTGAGCTCAGTTGTTGGAGCGCATCAGTGGAAGTTAAGTGAGCAGGTGGCACGTGTTGGTTTGCATGGAGATTAGCGAAAAAAAAAGCGGAGCACTGTCTTCATCACTCTAGACCACTATATTTCCTTCACGAAGGGGCGGTAGTGGTGCAAGCTACCGATTTTAGTCTTTTTAACAAATTTTAAAAGGAGATAGCGGTTGCTCTTGCCTGACTTAGGTTTGTGGTGCAGCTTGGTCTCTAACATAATAACTTAGTATACACGACATATAAGACACAATATAATACACAAGATACGGAAACACAAAAACATGAAACATGAAAACCCAAAACACAAATAGAAATACAAAAATAAACAATAGATTACAAAAAACATATTTATAATACATTAAGTATAAAGTTACACAACCATAAAACACAAAACACTAATTCTCTGGATAATAGGTGGTTAATCCAATCAGAAACCCTAAAGACAACCAATAAAAGTACAAGAAAAGAGGAATTAAAGTTCAACAAAAATATTTAATTTGACCTACCTTATTAATTGGATACAAACTAAACAAAGTAAAATTTTATCTGCTTCAATTAAATTTATCGTATATATATGGAAACGCATTTCAACCTTTTGTAAAGGTATAAAAAAATATAGGCCGAAACTGGACAATAAAAGCATCCTTGATTTTAATATACTCCTTTTTATATAAGTTTCTTTTTATTTATTGTTAGAATAGGCTCTTAGCTTCTTTCTTATGCGCATGTGCAGTGATTAAGCGCAAGTTTGTCATCAGCGCTCTGCTATATCATGGTCACTCGGATAAGACGTCGACGTTGGCAGATAAGTGCCTTGAGTTTGCAAGCAGGCGCTCGGGTCGGTACGTTACTTCACGAGTAGTGAGAGTCATGTTCAGTGTGCTTTCGAGTAAGATGACAGAATCATCCAGCAGGGCGGGTTAGACGGTAGTGACAGACACGGCAGGTGAGAGATTTCTAAAAAAGTCAGCAGGTTTACCCCAGTAAGTTAAAAAGCGGGTGTCTTCGAGGAGCCCTTCTCCTCTCCTAATTCGAGGATAACTGAAAGGTGATCGATGGACAGCTCGTAACAAGGGAATTCTTCAAGGGCCACGTGGAAAACCTAGTGCACGTATATTACCATATTTAGTTAATGATTTATATATTATACAAACAAAATAAACTGTACAGGCCCAGTCTCTTCTGCCATTTTTTTTTGGTGCAGTTGCAGAGTAGTTCAATAAACTTGCTATCCCTCTTTAGAGCAATTTATTGTTATAGACGCTATAGTCAACTCAAGAGACTACTCGAATGGGGTTTTAACTAACAGTAGTGTATAGTTACAAGACGAGTGCGTTCTGAGGGATGCATGCGTATTTCGTGATAATTACAGCCAATGACTGCTATTCTAAGACCTAATCATGCATTCTAAAATACTAAAGATTAGTGCATAAATGCTCAGCCTCACTTCTTTTGTTGTATGGTTTGCCCTTAAAAGGCAATTGGATAAACCTGTTCTACTTCTTCTACTTCCACATCAGTGGCGTAGGCGCTACAGTTAATATATATTATACTGCTTGTATCGAGGGCAAGAATTATTAGTAGTAAGCGTATGAAAAGATTCACGAGCCTTGAATATTAACTTTCCCATCATTTGCCCTAAAGGGTTAACCATTTTTAATAAAAAAATGGTTATACCGCTCAGTGGTTGGTAAATTCCTAGGGCCAGTAATTAATTTTTTTTAGTGTACTTCGGGCTAATTCAAATGACCAAGTCTTTCAAAAAAAGGGCTCCTTAATTACCCTTAGAAACTAAAATATAGTGGATTTACCCCTTTTAGGTCTAAACCTGTGTTCCTATAAAAGCCAAATCCTATATAATAAGGGACGTGCGACACCTCTCTTCCTCAGGCTCCTGATTTCTTTTTAACTAGCGGCCCAATTCTAAACGTAAATTTTAACCAAATTATAGTTAAACAATAATTACTTTAAAAAGTATGCTTTTATCTATGGAACTCAAGCGGAGACAACTTTTTATTTTTTATCAATGAAAAAAGGGACTTCATATTCTGCCGTTTTGAAATTGTTTATATTTGAGGGGTATTAGGAACAGCCCTGAAAATTTAAAATTGGTAAAAGAGTGCTCCCTTCTTCAGCCTTGGTTTTGTACTTCAATAATTAGTGTCTTTTCAAGAATAAACTTTCCTTCTTTATAACGTTGACTAACTTCATGGGCTCTTTTCTAAAATGGAAAAGACGGTGATGTCTGTGTTGGATTTAAACAGAAATCTGTTTACATATTTCCAACCCAGGATTTTTTTACAATTTTTGCATCGTACGTCACATACAGTGTGCACTCCGGTGGTCTATTTTATGAAAAGTGACTTATTATACTTTTGTAATTTTAGCAAACCATATACATATACATTTCTTTCAAGCAAAGCATAAAATTTAAGACTTGTATTTTATAAAAAAGAACCATTAGCCTGTCGACCAAAGGGCCTTCACTTACATTTATCCTAAAGATAAGAGATTACTTGGTTGCAACAAAAAGGAAGAACAAAGTAAGTAAACTTATAACGATGGATTGCAATTAGGGGTAATTATGGTTTGGCTAGTTACCCAAAGTAGATAATGATTTACTGTTGGAAATACTTTTTTTTTTTTTTACCTAAAAGAATATCTTTTAAGGCCGTCTTATTACTGTATTGTTGTTTTTATCCCTATTGGAAAGACCGGTAGCATACAAGTTTAAACCTTGTTTGTAATAAGTTTTTTTGTACAGATTTTTTTGTAAACGCTTATTTTCCATCGGTCAGAAGTTAAAGACCTATTTACATAAACAATTGGGGGAAAATACAAGTCGAAATGCTTTTTTAATTAGCTTTACTAGCATAAAATACCATTCTACTTCACTAAGATTAAATAAAATTTCTTCTGAGTTGCAGTTATGGAGATAAATAAAAAAAAGTCTTATGTGATAAGTGAAGTTATCTCTTGAGCAAACATGCATCAAGAATGTTTTTGGGATATACTACATTATTTAATAACATGCCCAGAAATTGCAAATAACTAAAAAGGTTATATTAGTGTTTTTCTGCTTAAGTTAAAGAGGTTTTAAACATAGTAATGACTCCCTAAAAAATAAGATTGGGTTATACATATATATAACTTGATCTCTTACACTTTATCGAACAGATAAGCTCTTCCGAGGCTTCCGTGAAAAGACTGGCAGTTAAAATATGTATTATAAAAGTGTAGGGTGAAAAGAAGGCAAAATAAGATCGAGCATTAGCAGTACAACACATTAAGATACCTTTGAAATTATATCGCTGGGAGATGATAAATGGCAATCACAATTTCCGCAGATAAATACGCGAGCTGTACCTAAATATTCTAAAAATATTCTACCCATTATACTTATAACTATACTTCGTTCAGAAGTTAGTATTTTAAATTACTATATACTACTTAAAGCTTCTTGCACTCAACCAGTTATAAAGTATACTTTAAAAACTAAATTAAGTAAAGAAGTATTAATTTCGTAGAAGTAACTTTTATGCTCTATTCAAGTATCCCATACGAGCTATTATCTACTCCCGCAACGGCCAACTAACAGAAAGCCGACGGTCAGCTCACGAATGTTTGGCAATTATGTTTATAAGCGCTCCCCTTTCTCACAAGGGCTTTTTTTAAGCAAATTTGGAAGAAAATCGCGCCATAACCTTCGGTTTCTGAGTATATAATACTATTAACGGTAATTACTACTTAAAAAAAAGATTGATGATTTGAAAAAGATGTTGTTTGTTGATATATGTAACTAGTCACGCTTTTACCAGATGAATATCATACGGTAGACAAATTACAGTTTTATTAAACACTAACGTCACATATAAGCACAAGGTTAGTTGTTTCAATGACGTAAAATTATTAAAAAAATTGAGTTTTAAGCTTTTAGATAAAGTTTTATTAACTTGTTAACTTAATAAGTATTATACTCGAATTATACCAACATTATTCTCTGTATACTAGAAATATCCCTATGATATCAGTTGAATAATACAAGTTTAAACTAGAAGATACTGAATTACACATGCAGTTTTTTTGTCGTATAAAGTTATTTATATTATATGTATATTTTCATAAATTGTAATATAAGTATTAAGCTTAATTTAAAACGACCCCTTACAGGGCGTTTATAGCATATCTTGTTAATAGAATTTACGAATTAAAATAAATACTATAAAACTAATTTTTAAAAAAATTATTATTTTAAGGGTAAGGTGTTTGTAATGTATAAGATAATTTAAATTAAAGTACATATATATACTTGATTTTGGAAGTTGGAGCGAAAACATGTATTAGGCCGTTTGTTAACGGAAAGTTGGGGGGAGCAAATATATAACCTAAAACTGAAGAATATAATGTGTGGGAATAAGTAGTGCGTAACTATTTACAATGAACAAACAGATATCACAATGTTTAAATCCCGGAATTTATCCTGGGGTTAGTAAAGTAATAAATATAATAAGCATAATATTTAAAAGGTAGGCAATAGGAGACAAAACAAAGAAGAGCAAGAAAAAGTTTGTATTTCATAACTTTGGTGTGCTCGATGATTCGAGCGCAGATCCCTCAGTCTTAATTTATCACTCACACTAACAGGTTAATATGTAAAACCATCGTGGCCATACCAAGAGTCGTCGTCCGTAGCTCAGCGTTTAAGAGCGTTGAAGCCCGTGCTCAAGGTCACGAATTTCATCCCCCGATTTCCACCAACACGGCTTCCTTTTCGGCATAGTGATTTTACGTATATAACCTGTTGATTCCCCCATCTTATTAACCCTTAAGCCAGGGGCTTTAGCCGCTCTTGGGTAGCTTATGGCAGAGTTCGTGCTTATAACGCATTAGAATTTTTTGAGGCGAGTATAAATACGCAACCTTTAAAGAACGAAAAAGAGAATCACGTCGGTGGAGGTCGGGGGGTGGAACCCACATCCTTTTTTATGCGCATCAACGCTCTAAAGCGCTGAGCTACGACGACGACCCTAGGATTGTTTTACGAATTTAACCTGTCATATAACCCCCCGTCCCCTTTTCCCGCCGAGGAAGTGCTATGATGGTCCCTTAGTTGTGACATATCAGGCCGGGTACGGGTGGTCAAAGAATAGGGGTTGACTTTATTTTAGGTTAGTATCGCTTTTATAGATAACATTTTATTTTTTTTGGAAAAATTAAAATAATAGGAAAAATTCTTGTGTACATATTATTTTTAGGTTTTGGCAGCTTTAGTCTATTCTAGCTCCTTACCATATATTAGTTTTCCACAAAGCAATTATTGAGAATTTAAGTTTCTGAAATCAGAGTAACTTTTTATGTCTGCAAGATTTACACTTGTGGGTATATATTTAAGGCAGTATTTTTTGAACTTCATCTTTAATGTTGTGATAAGTCACGTCAATTGATCTTACCTTCTTATTCGATGCATCACCCTTTACTATACCTTTAACTAATTCTTGTCAGTATAAAATTCTACTTTTAGTCCATAGTTGGGGAAAATTTTAAAGAGAATATATTTTTAGTCAAACGTATCTAATATAGTCTTGCTTAAAGTAATACTCGGCCTCTCGAACAGATTTATTTATTTTTATTTAATAATATTTAAAGGACCATTACACTGGAGATAGTGATGGTTTTATTATCGTAGAAGTCAGTACAGGAGAAATTGTAATAGCGCTCAATTAAAAAACAGTTATCAGAATAGTTATTACATTTTAAGTAAGGAGAAAGGTTTCTTGTTTAATATTGGTAATTAAAATGTTATAGGCCTATTTCATATGTTCTTCATTGCTACAGTGGAGGAAGAAACTCAGCATGTATGTCGCATAGGAGACATCAAGCCTAGTGCTAACTGCAATATTACGTAAAGCTCCAATCAGCCTGTAACATTCAGTGCCTTCATCAACCGGGTTTAAATTTAGTACAGATGGGCGAAGATAGTCTACACTTGAATTTTGTTAATAAGAAATTTAAATATGAGTTATTGAATGTTATTTGTTTAATTTATTAAATAACACTCTCCTGTATTTATTAAGTTAATGCCCAGAAAATTTTTTTAATGTTTATACATTCTTTTATATTTTATTACGTAGTCATCAATATATAAACCTATAGATGTTCCATAATTGTGGTAAAAGAAAATGCGGTCATTAGTTTTATTTTGATAACAACCATATCTTCTTAGTCTGCAAGCTAAGTCTTTGTAAGTAAGGCTAGCTTAGACTTCAAACCAAATAAAGCAACCTTAATCTTTAACACGCATATTCTTTTTTAATAATAGTGTTCTCGAAGAAAGTTTTTTTTGCAGACAATTTATTATACTAAATATTAGATGTAGGCCTTAAAGTATTTGTACATAGACTGGTTTTCATAATTTTAATTGTAAAAAAACTGTAGTTCATCAACTTTATGAATAGGTTTTTGTAGAATTTTAGTCATGGTGATAAGTAATTGAAATGATGACTTGAAAAGGACCGAAAAAATTCTTTATAGTCGATACCAGATACTTGTTGGTCTCCCCTAATAGTAAATTTCGCTTTGAACTGCTTGTTTAAAAAATACCATGGATCCATATTGTAGGGTTAACGCTAACTTTATGTTTATTAGCTACTGCCTTAATTCTGAAGCGTCCCTTAGAATGTGTCAATTCGTCTTGCAGATTGAAGAAAATTAAATTGGTATTACCTAATTATAATATATTAATATTTGATATATATTGTAAGTGAGTAAAAAGTGTTAAATTAGCGGTAAAAATTTGAATAAAAATCAATAAAGAATATTATTTAGAAATTTATTATCTATATATGGAAAAAAAATAATTAATATTTATATGCAAACTTAATATATATATTAAAAATTGAATGGGAAAAAAGGGATCCGTACGAACGTAGCTAAAGATCCTCAGCCTAGCGACGGTCAGGGGCTGATAACTTTAGAGATGCGCCTCCCCTTACACTTTTATTATACGGTTGTAGGCGTAAAGCAAATTAATAAACTTGTTTCTGCTTCTCTCCTGCTTCCACATCAATGGCGTAGGCGCTATAGTTAATATATATCACGCTAAACTTACTGAGGGCAAGATTAACAAATGAATACACTTTTTTCTGCGCAGCCCCCTTTCTCTTTTTAAATGAAGTCTGTGCACTTTATAAAAAAAATCAGTTAATTAAACACTTCATATAATATATATATATATATTTTTACACATAAAAAAATTAGCAACAGACTGAACAAAAAAAATCTACCAAAGGCCGAAATCATAACTCTAAGCCGTTTTGTGAATCGAGGCTAACCTGATTTTTCTTTATACAAAAGTAATAAGATGGTGCACATTAAACCAAAATTAACATTGAAATTGTTATACTTTTGGTGCAAGCTATATTAAATTAAATCAAAATCAACCTAAATATAATTTTTTTTCTAAAAGGCAGATATATGGCTTAATTACGACACGCTTATGGGCTGGTACACGCACTGTGTTAACCACAACTCTTTAGGGAAGACTGATGCCTTTTTTACCTCTCATTTGGTTTAAGGGGAGAATTAGCATTAACTAATAAAGCTGTACCATATAGTTAATGAATAAAATAAAACCTTTTTTGTTCTTGCCTTTTTTTTAGGGCTTTTTTAAACCATTTTTTCCCTACGAACTTGCAATAACTTACTTATAAACTTAATTTATGTAACTGTCTTTTATTGCCTCAAATGGGTAGAATAAAAAATTTTATTAACTGTACACTAGTACTTATCTATATAACCTTATATAACAATTATAATTTTTAATTGTTGTTATTATCTTAATTGTAATATCAAATACCCAATTTCATCAATTTATAATAAGAGTGCAAGAAACTAGGAGACGATGCCAAGGCTTATCGAAACTGGTTCAATTATTACCTAAAACGCTCCCTAAAATATTTCTCTGTTTCCTTAGAGCCCCGCTTTAAAGAAACGCACTTACTAGGTCCTGCTTAACCATACTGTCGCTCAAGTTTTTATCGCCAACAATGTTTTTTTCTATTTAAGTTGTTAAAACACTAGACGAGTTCAGTGACAAACTGTTACTTGTTCTAATTAACCTTTGTAGCAAAGCTTCCCATGCTTTCTATACAAATTCTGCAATATTAACGCGATTTTGGCTTGCGCGCCATGATTTAAAAACTTAACTGAGCAACGTTGTAGCGGAATGCTCTCGTGCGTTTTTAACAAAGTGATGTAAGCTATCTCTAGCATTTTAAGACTTGGTGCAAACAAGGCAGCTTTGTGGTTGGTCATCTTAAACTTCGGTTGGTGACCGGGGTGCTGGGTTACAGTGTCGACTTAGTAAGTTTGCAGGCTTGGCCTTTTGACTCAAGAGATACATGTACAGTTCACTATTAATATTTTAGTTCCTAGTATATAATATTTTCAAAATTTTATAACATCGATAAGGAGATAAGTTTACTTATAATAAACTCTCATAAAACAATACTTGAAAATAACCAAGTCAATCTTATTATAACAGGTTAAAATTTTAAAACCGCCCTCTCGGGTTTAGGAGTAGCCGTCGTAGCTCAGAGCTTAAAAGCATAGACGTGTAAATTCAAAGTAATGGGTTAGACCCCTGCCGTCGCAACTCACTTTTTCAAATTTTGATAAGCAGAAACTCGGGTAGTATTACTGCTTATTCTCAGGCTGTGACTAAGTCTCTTCTGCTTTTTTAAAAGGGAAGACACCAATTTTAATAGACCAAAAAACAAAACAAGGAAGAAAAGAGGAGAGAAAAAAGAAACGACGGTCCCACACGCGTTTTAGTACGATTATTTTATAGTCGTCAGGTAGTTTGTAAAAGAAGGAAGTAAAATATGAATGGATTGTAAGTTAGGAAAAGGCAAGGAACATGATGTGTTATTAAAGAAAACACATTTGTAGAATTCGTTATAATATATTTCATAGTATTATAAAGACGAGCGTTAGAGATATTGTAATGGGAGATGTCTACCTTTTCACCTTAGTGAAAACCGAGAAAAATATATGGGGTTTGCAAGCGAGAAAATTTATGATGTTTAAAGAAATTTATAGTATCCCATATAGGGAGGTTCTAGCCGTGGCGAGGAGCACAAATAAGCTCGTGGTTCCACCAAATTAAGTAGCTAGAGAATAAAAGTAAAAGATGGTCTCAAGAGTTTCTAGGTTAAATCAAGTACGAGTTTGAGAGGGATGCTGTGCGATAAAAGAGAGTAAATAGAATTCAGTAAATAAGGAACAGTTGTAATCGGTTGCTACACTAGAGATCGGGAAAATAGAATGTAGTGACTGATCCTCTTTTAAGATTTATTTAAATCGAGAAAATAAGGGAGTTCAAGGACGTAGTTATGTCGGTTGGAACCCGTAAAACGTAGTTGAGGAGCATTCGTTAAAAGTAAGCTTATCGAGGTAGATAGGAAAATATTTTATGCGGTACTTCATGAAATGAGGAAAAATTTCGGTACGAAAATAAGTAAAGTAGTAGCTGTGCAAATCCCAGTAATCTGATACCTTTATACAATTCGTTATAGGTGTTGTGTGCTAAAAGAATGTTTTTTTTAAGGAATACCCTTAAAGAGCATTTGGCACAGTTAGCGGTACTAAAAACGGATGAAGAGCTTTGAAATTATAGAGGTCATATTTGACAAGTGCAGTACACATGCTTGGGCTAAAACATATGAAAATTAAAATGTAGAGTTAGTGAAAAATGACTAAGGAATTTTTCAAGATTATTGAATTAACAAGCTGGGAGTTTCTCGAAATATATATACTGCTAACAACACTTTATATGCTATAATAATTATAAGGTATACTGTAGACTTTAATGTAATATAATATACTTGATCGAAGAACTAAAACATAGTAGAAGTTTATTTGATAATAATGGACGCTCTCGGAGCACCAAACCAACCTTACAAAAAAAATATGAACCAGAGAATAAATAGAAATAGTAACAGCGCATGAATAGGCTGCGTTTATGTATGCACATGCAGCCCTCGGTTCATCATACTACGAAGTTGAGAACATCTAACACCGTAATTACGGAGAAGTTGATACTTTAGAAAGGAGGTGAAAACTTAAGTAAAGAATATTAAGATGAAAATGTGTTGAGGGCTATCATAAGGCTAACGGGAAGGGGTAGAAAGAACCACTTAAATCATTAAGGAAAAGACTGGCTAAAAGTACTTTACAAAAGAAAAAGAGATTGGAAAGAGCTACAGATATATCTTTAAAACAGATTTTCTAAGGATTTAGGAATAAGTCCCGACTACGGTGGGCTACCAGACCAGAAGAAAAAATCATTATTAAAACAGGGAATTAGTTAATAACAATCTGTTAAAAGCTAAAATAAACGCTACACTGAAATGGTTCAGCAAAGGTTTTAGAAGTAATAAAACTGGGTAAATAGTTCGTTCACTTAAATAAAATGGTTTAAGTTTTACGCAATCTATTAAAACTGGTGAAACTTGCGCCGACGAGATGTAACTATATGGGCAAACTGAGTAGTAAAGTGTTTGTCGTTCTTAAGTTACCTTCATGGAAAAAGGAGAATCATTACCCTTCTTTTTAAAGCAAAAAGGTAATCGGGGCTAGAACAGGTGGCACCAGTGATGGAAGGATTAATGACTTTTTAAAGGAATAGATTTAGACCCTGTAATCCACTAATTAAGGCCCTTCTGGAGAACTTCAAATAGGCCACCTGACCACGAGCGTACTTTTGCTTTTAAAGGTTAAGCATTGTCGCAGTCTATAGATTAACGATGCAGGTTTAGGATAGCATTAGAAGAAAAGCTACGGGAGCGCTATGATTAATTTACTACTTATATGTGTGTAAATAGTTTATAAAGGGGGACATAGTTAGTAAGTGTTTATACTTTAGGGAGAGCTAAATTATAAAAATTATATGTATAAGCAAGACTTTTTCTTCAATCGCTTAATTGTGCGGTGGCCTGCTTCTTGCGTTAGTAGCTTTGCTGAGTTAATGAAATTAAATGCGATATATAGTTTTTTATTGAAAATTTTCTATTATACTTCCTTCACTAACTTAGATAGTGTCAGCGTACTAATAAAACTTTTAGGTCAAAATTTCAGCCGACCTTGGTTGCCCTTACATTTAGTCCAAGGAACAGCTTGTGCTTAAATCGTACTATGCTATAAGAGCGAGTATGCAACCACCAAAGAACAAAAAATAGAGTCGCACCCCTCTGAACTTACGTGTCAATGCCTTAATAGCTGAACTACTTATAGCAACCCCAAATCTCAATATAATGAATTTACAAGTTTAACTCGAAAAAATTTAAGCAATAAATTTTAATTTTTTTTTTTTTGGCTTGTAAAATTTTTTTATACTGCTTTAATAGTTACAACGTTGCTAGTGTTAATGCTTAAAGTTAACACTACAACAAATGTATTAAATTCCATACATTAAAGTTTTTATCGTTAGAAAATAAAACTTGTAACAGCTACTATATATTAATTTGTGGTGACGTTTTTGTATGGCTAGATATGAAAAAGGGAGGATTTTAAAAATTTAAGATCTAGTTCTAGGCGCGCTTCCTTACGTTAAACCAGTCCTAAAAACTAAGTTACACGTGTTTAATACAGTTTTGAGTATGGATAAGGAGAGACTCCATTTGCTTCAAATTCACAAACCAAAAGTATTACCCCATTATAACCCCTTTTTCAATAATAGTTTATTGCTTTACCAAATTAGCACCACTACTTTTCCTATTAACGGTGCAACTTTACAAAACCAATAATGTTAAATTTATACAATTTAATTATTGGTTGTTAATTATATCAAACATGTATTCCACAGCTTTACACCGAACTATTTTTTATGACATACAATTTCATTAATGCAGATATAACTAGAAGGATTAGGTAACTACAAAAGATAATATAATTTAAAAAAGAAATTATTAGAAAGCTAAGAGAAATCAATGGATTATGTCGATTTGTGCCCTTAACTACTTTGGTGCAATATCTTCAAAGTAAACGAGTTTTAACAGTAAAACGTTTTGGACTGTCCTGGTTTGGGCCTTATTTTCACACCAGTAAACTAGGTTCAAAATAAATAATTCTGCATAGAACACTAACTCCCAAAACTATCAAGTTGCTATCGCATATTAATTTTTCAGCAAAACAATACGGCCATAAGTCACCACGCCTACTCTTAACCAAATTATGGTTTTAACATAGTGTTAAACTAGCCGAGTAAATCCCTAGGCATGAATGTCTTTGGAAATCCACAGGCCACATTGCTAGAAACATATGCGGAGAATTCTACCGTTCAGTGAAACGATGGGGTTACAGTAGCTATCGGAGAGTCTTAGTTTAAAAGATAGAGGAATTGGAATTTAAAATTTGTCTCTACTCAACGCCATATACAACAATTAGTATATTCGTACCGAAGCAACATGTATAAGGCTGTCCCCATTACTTTTTCTAGATTAACTGTACTTTTTGCTTATTTATCATTTAAAATTGATATAAGTAAAATAGGTAGATCAAAATCGAGAAATATAATTTTTTTCATCCAATTAAGGGTTACGATTAAATAATAAACTCATGGGGTCAAATTTGTGGGAGAAAGCACAACGCGTGTGTTGGTCATTTACGTGAGCGGAGAAAGAAGTTTTTTTTTTTGAGCTCGCCCTGTCAGAACCTATTGGCTTAATTCCCGCCTGTTTAAAAGTTGATCTTTCCTTTATCTTACATAAAAGATGACAATAATATTATATAATATAGTAACAGAGATTTATTCATAGTAACTAATTAATAAATATGTTTTTACTATTCTGAAGGGGAGTTTTTTTTGTTGAGAGTAATTATTTCAGTTGCAACACCGATGGAGTATGGGTGCAGCGCTTTAAGTATGAGTACAAGCATGAGTAGCCCCAAAGATAATAAACTAAATTTTGAAAATGTTGGTGGCAGTTTTGTCTGTACTAATAGCGTGAACGTTTACTTTCAATTTAATTTTTTAGGGGTCGTTGAAAGTAGCAAAAGATGTTATTAACTGTACTGCCGTCAAAATCAATGGCAAGGACGTCCGTAATAAAGTTGATATTTATGACTGCAATGCCGTTATTACCGCCAATATTGTAAAGGAAAATACCCAATTCGAATATTTACCAGGATCCCCTGTTCCTACTAGTTTAGAATCTAAAGGTACTTAAATTTACTGTAGAGTCAGTTGGGTTTAATTCATGAATAATCCTACAGACCTTGCTAAACTTGTTGCTGAATTTCAAGAACCAATTTTACAAACGGGTAGCAGCAGCACGGAACAAAAACTTATTTTAAACTTTGCTTTGGTTAATAAATAACAAGTTAAGATTTCTTACACCAACTCTTACTGTGATACTGATTTTTTAGAATGAACTTTTAGAGGAAACACTTGCTTTCAATGAGAAACTTAGAGATTTTCGCAAGTCGCGATTGCCTTTTGTAGAAAGGTTAACAGATACCATTCATTACAATCACGGATGTAAAGTATATTCTCGGTTCACTTGGCCCCCTACCCATTTGGTATTTTTATAGGAGTAAAACTTTAGTTATTCGTAAATGGTGGGTTTTTATGAAGAGTTTTCTTTGTATTATTAAATTATTATATTACTAAATAGCTACAGAAACGCAATAAGTTTGGTTACTATATATGCTTAAACGGATATAAAAAAAGATGTTGGAGGGGTCTGCCAGTTCTTCCTGGTTCCTTAAAAAAAATGTTGAACTCAGAGACCAAATTAAAAGCAAAAGGTTTGAAACTGAAGAGTTTATTTTGTTACTCTCACTTATTCTTCAGTCTTTCTTTTGTTTAAAATAACATGTTTTTATTTGTTATTGATTATCATATGTTTCAAAGGAAGCAGTTGCGCCGATTCAAACTTTTTAAGTCCCGATAAAACAGTTTCGCTTTTTGTAGAGTCAGTGAACGGACCCAGCTCTGAGGAACTAAAAATAGCATCTCGTTCAAGAAAAGCTGCAAGCGCAACTGATGCTTCTCTCGATATTGACCCTTTACCTGAACTTACGAAGCTTAAGGAGCGAGTCGTGCGAGCAAAGTCAACTAAGCTTCCTTGTGACTCTAATGTCGAACGGCTAGTCGCACGAATTTCTAAGCAGCCTAAAGAGTTATTAGAGGAACTTCCCCCTCTTGACCGCGTAAAACCTTATTGCTGCGAATGTACTTTTTACTGGAAGTTCATCTCCTTTTTACAATTTATTAATCACTTAACTTTCGTAGTGTGCTTTAAAAGATATAGGAATCCCAATGGTCTTGAGTATCACTATCGCCATCATCACGTAAGCTTTAGAGGCCTTAGGACATCTTCTGTAGAATTAGCGTTATTTACTAAGCTAATTTAAACGATTTGTTTTTTTATGTTCTTTTATTGATGTTAGCGCGACCTGTGGAGACAATTTATCTCATTTTTTTGCAATTATAGGGCGAGTCTTCTCTGGAGCTAAGGTCTCCAAGCCTTGTAAACCCTCAAAGAGAGCTTCTCCTTGCTGCCCGCTATTATGAAGGTGCTGCCGATTCTCGGGCGTCTATCACACACGTGGCTCCATCTCACTCTCGCGTTTCCTCTGTCTGCGACTTCTGCCAACGTAGCTACGTGTAATGCTTACTGTAAAAACTTTACTTCTAGTTCATGAAGGTTCTGACGACTGGAAAAACGCAATAACTTGCTCTTCATGCGGCCATTATGGTATATATATCAATACTTGATCCTCCGAAATAACTTTTGTATCAAGATATCTAATTTTGATTGTATTATGTAGGAAACATTACATAAATATTTGTTTGGCAACATTTACCTATAATTTGGGTATTAACTTATAAATAGGTCATTTTAAATGCCTCGGATTTACGCCTTTACAAATAAAGAACACGCGGACGTATCCCTGGCAGTGCATGGAGTGCAGAGTCTGCCTCGTGTGCCAGAAAAACACCAGCGAAGTATTAGTATATGGCTATATTTCGGACTCCTTAGGAACCCACTTTTCAATAGGAAACTCTCCTGTTTTGTGATAACTGCGATCGAGCCTTCCATATGGAGTGCTTAAATCCGCCTTTGTCCGCCGCCCCGGAAGGTTGGCGCATGAATTTCCCTGTGCAGACTATCTTGACAAAGTATCTTTTTTTAAGGCGATTGGATTTGCCCTGTCTGCCCTCGTTCGTAAATGCAGTTGTACTCTCTGAAGCTTTTTAATATGTGCATTTAAACAATAGATCCTTTTTTTTGCTATACTTTCGTACCTTATTAATTGTATTTTATTATATACTAATTCATTAAAATATATTTTGTTAAACTCATTTCTCTTTTCTTCCGACGAGGTTAGGGTACCAGGGTAGGGCTAGGCAGGTAGCCGAACACCTCAGGCTTCATATAGTAATTTAAATTTTTTCTCGTTAATGTTATGATGCGTAGCACATTCATTATTACCCACCCTGCATATTTTTATAAGCACTGAAGCTCTCTTACTTTGTAATTTTTAAAAAAAAATAATTTGATTATATGTTTGCTTTTCTTTTCCTGTCCACGTTAGTCTAAGTAGTTCTTTGGTGGTTCGGTCTAAGTAAGACTCGGTAGAATTAGCACCTAGCAGACCTTTTTTTTCTTGAACTGTTACTAAGGAAGCTTTTGAAATATTTGAACTTGGAGATCACTACGCTAAATACATTAGAGCGTAGTGATTACCACTCTTACAATCAAGTCAACCGCTCCGGCCCCTCTAAAGATTTGGGAAGGAGTATAACAGAGCATTATCTTACTAGCTGCTCTAGAAGTCTGATCATGCGATAAAATTTTTTGCATATTAAAATCTATTGGTGCTAATTTTTATACTTTTAGATTGCGTTAAATAAAGTCCGGGTATAAAGGAATACTGCATTATAACACTATATATGAATTTTAACCCAAATTTAATTTACTTCTAAGCACAACAGCCTTAACTTACCTTTGATGTTAAGTTTATTAAACAAACGGCTTTATTAACCTTCACATCTCTATTTTATTAAAAAAATATATATGTAAACGCAGAAAGGTTAGCCTTTCAATTAGAGAATACCTTTGAAGACACCATCATCCTTTCCTTACATGTTTTTTTATAAGCTAATATGAAGAGCTTACAACCAGTACATTTTTCGAGAAGGTTAAATCTAAACGAAAAAACTATATAGTAAATAATTATGTTGCATCACAACTCAGAAGCACTGGTTCCGCTTTGACGTTTTTTTATAAATTTATGTGCACAAACATTTTATATATATTTTGCACACAGTACAAAAAGATTACTGTTTCAGTTTGAATTAATTGGAAGTTTTTTGACTTTTTAGAACAAAAATTAATCTGAGCTTATTACGGGAACGCCCTATACTCTACAGCTATAATTTAACACTGTATTTAGTTTTTAGAGGCATGTCTCACCTTATTGGTGATGACCTATTAAACCATGCGGGTCAATATATTAGATATATAGAGTTTAATCTTTATCGATAAATGTATATTTTTATTTTACCCGAATCAGCCTTAGTCTCCCTAATAAAACCAGTTATCATCTCATGCACTTTATATTTATCAAATTGTATAATTTAAAAAAAGTCTACGTAGAATATAAATAAGTAAATTGGTACTATGTATGTTTAACGTTTTTGGACTTGCATATGATCTACCTAGTATAAATAACATATTCAATAATTAGACGTTATGCCTAACCGAAGTAGCAGGGGCGTATTTTTAGTTGCTTTTTCTGTTTAACAAACAAGTCCTCGAAGAAGGCTAGTACCGTACAATAATGATGGCTAAGACTCTTCTATATGTTGCCCAAATCTTACCCTAAATATATAAGAAGAACAAGTGGTCGACGACGGCTTGCCTTCCTTGTCGAACTATGATTAGGGGCGCTATTTTGACCATCATGCCAAAAATTCTAATTATGTAGCCGATCTTTCTCGTATCGTCCAACCACAGCGAAAAGCCCTTAAAAATAATAAAAATGAGTTGTGCGTTTTGTAGTTTTTTGTAGGATTGTGTACCTTTATAAAGAATTAATCGCACCTAACTGCGGTGTCCTCTTATGGAGTTGCGGTTAACATCGACAGTTTTTAGTGCATGTTATCATTTCTGTGCAAAAAACCTAAGAAACTCAAACCAGATATTAATGCAATATCTTTAAAAACTTTTAAACTTTTTACTGGGGCGTTGTAGCCCTTTGCCCGGATACAACTCAACGAATAGTAAGGCCTATATCAAAAATAGTTGCAGATGACTCCAAATATACTGACGTACTTGACTAACACTTCTTCTCTATCATGGTAATTCATTGATTCTACTTATTTTTAGCTGTCTTAAAAAAATGTTTAAAGCGTAATTACAGCAAAGTGTTATTTCGAATTTCCATTAATTAATTAGCTCTTTCCATTAAAAGCTTTTAAAGTAATATTAAATCTACAAATTTTGTAAATTAACTAGTCGGAAAGCTAATAATGACTTGCAAGCGACCTTCAAGCAAAAGCGTGTGAGAGACACGCCTTGCGTTGAACAAAACATACCAACATTGTCAAAATCTGCGAAGTCAGTTTATTTTTTTTTTAATCTTTATGATGGGCAGAAGAAGCTTACGCTAAGGTATTACAATCCGATAGGTTTTGCAAAATAATTACCCCGCTTGGTTCAATAGGAATATGTTTGCTTTTTAGCACCCCTGTTATAATAGGGATCCTTTTTGCACAAAAGTTAAAATATTTATTACCAAATAAAATATTTGTTACCAAAAATAATGGGTGCGAAGTTATATTCGCAACTATTGAAGATCGTAAAAGAAGCCGCTTCACAAAGATTGATTATTACAAATACCCGTGTTTTTTAAGGGGTGTTCCAGGACACATTTCTTTTTTTCTTTTTCTCTTTTATCCAATTATATAGAGATGTAATACACTTAAAATATTAACAGCCTACACTGGCACATTAGGAAAAAGCTAATGGTGCTTTTAAACAGCAGATTAAAAAAAAAAATTAAATTAAGGTTTAAGGCTGGTGAGTACGAGCGCGCGCGCCTCCTTCTAACAATCCGTAGGCAAATCAGATTTTGTAGACATACAGCTCGACTACCACTGCGCTACAGAGCTACTGTAGTAGAAAGCGATGAAAAACAAAGTAAAACTCTTTGCTCTGCTTAATATATCCGTCGCCTACCTCCTTAACCCTCAAAAACGAGCCCTTTGAGCCCAGTTTTTTTTGAGCTAATTTAGCTGCTGTGCGCTTGCAATCGAATAGTTTATTAAAGCACTGAAGCGAAAGGAGTTCGGTCCTTGGGGGCATTACTAATTTGATGTTAAAGCAAATGGCGGTGGTGCCTCGTCAACTCGGAGATGGCCTTCTGTAATTTTTCCTTGCGATGGAAAAAATAGAGATAGTCTTGATATTTCTGAAAACACTTCAACTAGCATCTGAGCTTAGTAGTACGACCTGTTAATCTTTAGTCGATTTTAGGTGATGTTGACACCTGTATAATTTTACAAGAGTTTCAGTTGAACATTCAGAAAGGACATTTAAAATTTCGACCGTTGGAGTGGACGGGGCTTTTGACTAAGTACGGCGGAAGAATTGTTAAGCAAACGCACTCCCTGACAATCCCGCTCTATTTCAAACATGCTCAAGCTGTACCTTAGCGACTGGGTTCTCAGTGTCTCTGCCTCACCTCCTCGCAGTAGGGGCCCCGCAAGATTCTCTTCTATATCCGCTACTTATCACGCTCTTTACGAGCAACTTGTCTCTTATAGTCAACCCTTATAAGTGGATGGTCCTTTACGCCATCAATAGGACAAATTTATTCCTCGTCAAGTCCTTCATCTACTACATCCACCATGAACAGCTTTTGCAAGGCACGGCTTTATCCCTTCTGGATTACGCTCCCCGCCCCCCGGTAAAATTCAAATTAGTGCACGTGATTAGTTAGCCATATTTGCTCAATCTATCTTATAAGTATACATTGTTTACACTCTCAAGGAGAAACCAATTTACGATCTGGTTGCCCCTGTCTTGCAACTGGGTTCTGTTTTGGTCTGTCATTCTGGCATGATCTGTTTTATCCTGAACTAGTGATCTGTTTAATCTGTTTGTTTTTCCTAGTCTTTTTGTCTTGTTTGTTCTTCAGTACTTGTTTATTCCTTTTATTTACCTCATATATGTACAGTTGTATACGATCTTTTATTTATTTAGTATCATTAAACACAATGCACAGCTATTTTTATAAAAATGATGTTACCTTTTGGTGCGTTACAGCTTTTATCTCAATGTGCTGGCAGGCTTGGGTCGTCATTGGGGCTCTCTATGAACACAGCAAAGGGCGAGGATTTAATATAACAAAGGAAGGCAATCTTATAGATGACTAGGTTATAAATAGTAAATTAAAATAACAAAAGTCATATTAATCGATTTCGAGAGCTGCAATCAAATTCTGTCTTGGAATTTCTGTTTATGTAAGGGGTCGTAAAATATTTTTACAAAGGCTACTACTTACGAAATATTGTAAACCGTCTGTGGGGGGGGGTGCCTTTGGGGGATTGGAAGATATGATTAAATATATTAAGGCACCAACGGCTGTTTGCCACTGGACTGAAGTGCGTATGATTTCACCCATTATACTCCAGTCGTTTGTTAAGATATCTAATGAAGTGTAGAAACACGTGCTATGATCATTAATTTGTTAGTTTATACCAATTACCCAGGTAAGCTGTTATGGAAACTGCCCTCTCATAGCTTCCTATGGTAATTATAAAGTAGTCTGATTTTCTGAGGATGCATAAGGTTGTATTTGTTAATCTTTGTGCGCTTTAATTGCCAAGCGTACACTGCAAGCTAGTTAGAAGTCTATTTTGTTATTAAAACCTTTTCTAATAGAATTTGGTTATCTAATTTAGTGCCTTTGTCCCTTTATGCTTTTCAACAAAATTATATGGTGAAATCATATCATACTTAATATAATTATAAGTTTTATTACTTGTAGCAGCTTAATTTAATTTCTTTTTATTCTTTGAATATATAGTAGTTATATGTTTACATTTAGCGTGATTTTAACGTAGATAGCTATTGTAAGGGGATATGTTTATCAAGAAGTGTTCAAAATAAAGTTATTATATTGATAAAACTGAGAAAATTCAAGAGCACGTAATCTACTAAATATAATTGGTTTTTTTAATTTAATAAAATACTCCGAGGTATAGTGACAACGATTAGTTAAATTATTAGTGCAAGACTTTGCTTTTACAAACCGCTTCTCGCTGACCCGAGAGAAGAAAATCTAAAAGACTTCGACGTTGCACTCAAGTGACAACGGTATCGACCTCATCATGGCAGACTTGAAGAAAGAAGCTTATATTTGGACTCAGTTTGCTTTTTCTACAAAGAATACCATGACATGTTTAATTTAATTAATAACACACAATGTGTAAAGTTCCTCAAATTAAATCGGTCTTCACACCGAAATAATTTGGTCTTCCGCTTATAAAATTGCGATTTTTTTATATTAAGTGCTCGGTCGGGTCGTAAAAAGAAAACAACGGATTTACGAGCTCTCAACGGGGTGATAGCGTATACATTAGTTTTAAGTTGTGTTAAATTAATCTCATATATATATGTATTAAAAATAATTCAACCCTTAACCCATATTTATGTATTTAGAGCGCGGTCGGCGATAGCGTTGCGTCGAGAAATGTTACCCAGAGGTATAATCTGAAAGTTTTGAGGCATCATTACGAACAAATCAAGGCGCCCTCATCATAAGCGTAGTAATTTGTTTTGTCTCACTTGAAGCGAAGAGACTATTGCCGGTGGGTCGTAGGCCCAGGCAGTGGATGCTTATGTCATGATCGGTCGGATATATAACAAATACAAGCGACTTTTGTTGCGCAGCGAGAGTTTTCTTCCGCACAACGTAAAGGAGTAAAGAGTTCGAACAGCCGCCTTGACCTTCGCAGCGATACAGTTTCCGAGCAGCCACCACGAGGGCATATTGTTAATAATGAACCCCAAGTATTTCGCCTAAGGGCTCACGGGATTACCTTACGTTCAAAGGTCACCGACGGTAGTGGTGTAGTGCTCTTCTTTGCGAAGAAAGGGCTTTGCTCTTTTTTTTTACACTAATAGTAATTTTCTAACGACGACACCAGTTGGCAAGCGTCCCTAGGTAGTACTGCAGAGGTTGGCGCAATTGGGCAGGTGATTTGACGAGAATTAACTAGCTATGTTATCAGCATATAGGCAATCCGTGTGTTGGGGTTGTCAGGCTCTTGTACCTCGCGAACATAAAGTGCATAAAAGAAGAGGTGATAGAAGAGAGCCTTATGGGACCTCCGGCTGTTATCAAGGACGCGGTCCTTAAGGTAATATTTGACCACTTTTAGAAGAATGGTAGGAAGGGCTATTGTGCGCAGTTTGTTAAGCAGGCCCTTGTGCCAAACCCTTTTTCGACATTAAGAAAGACGGCTCCGTTGCTTTCTTTAAAGTGGGGTACGAATCGTTTACTCTATCAGGCGGAAAAGTTGTAGAGTCGTCAAGTGTCCTTGTCGAAATCCAATTTCTTGCAGGGCGTAGCTAGTTCAGCAAATGCTTTCGAGCAGCGCAAAGGCCGCTCTAGCTACTTTGCCAACGTCTGAGTAGAGGCTAATAGGCCTGTATTCGCTTGGCGTAGATGCGCTGGTCTTGATAAAAATTGCAATATTAATTAGTTAAGCTTAATATTAGTATATTAAAGTAAAAAGTGCAATTGTTTATTATTTGGAACCGATGTTGCATAAGTTGATACAATTACTTATTTTGCTCAAATATTAATAAAAATTTACTTTATAATAATGCTGTTTGCTTGTAAAAGGAGACATTTTCCGAATAGTTTTAAGGTTTGTTTACAAGTTACTCTTGTGTTTAATATAGTGACATTTTTTTTCAGTTTCTTAGACTTGACTTGAGTATTTTGCTAAAGACTATATTTTCACTAAATTTTGTATTTTTCTAAAAATTTAAAATTGGTCTCGTATACAAAACTCGAAAATGTTGCGGAAAGCAAAACTTTTTACTATTATAGTTGGAATATTTAATGAATTTGCTTTCTTTTACTCCAGCAAGTAAAGTTTAAAGCCTCGTTGACAGTATTATTACTAAACCACCTGTGCAACTTTATCGATGGGCTCTTTTCTTAAAATTAAGATTTTTTTTATTTTACCTCCTTTCCTAACGTACTTAAATAATTCAAGTAATATTAAAAGGCGACAAAGAGCCAAGACTTATAAGATTGACTAACTTAAGAAATATGCAATTTAAGCGACTTATTGATGTTGATCCACATGGTTTAACAGAAACCGAATATATTTTTATTAAAAATTTATTGTTTTATTATGTGGAAGACTTCGGTTTATTACCACTTATAACCCCTGAGGTATGCATAAATAATTTTTTTAAATGTAAGCAGCGTTTCAAAACCTATTTCTCCTAGACTAATTTTAAAGATTATCATAATTTCCTATGCAAACTTTATACCGGTGAATTTTCTTGCGCTTTCTGTTTCGGTACTTTTTTTTTTAAAAACTCATTTTTTTAATAGTTTATTTACCATACAATTATACTTTTGTTGTAACTCCCAGAGCCAAATTTTATCCTGTGTCTGGTTTACAACGGATTTATCCCGATGGCTTACTATAATTTATTGACTCCTAAACTTCACCGACAGAGATGCATCCTTACTTTTGACAATTTACATGTCTCTCGTAATGTGTTAAAAAAATGTAAAAAATATATTATTACCATAGATAAAGCTCTAGAAAAGGTTTCGTAATTTTATAGTTCGCTAAATTTTCATTACTATTTTTTTTTTATTTATAAATACTTTTTTTTTTCGTTTATCACTTTAAAGCTTAATATTGAGCCGAGTGGTTTATTTACTATATACCTCCACAATATCACATATTGTTAATTTAAGCTATTAAAGTGTTTTTTATCGAAATTTATTAGTATAATGCGGCAAAATTATATCATATAAGTTAACCGCACGGAGCTGGAGTCTGAAGTCTTGTTTTGTGTTCCACTGTTTCAATATTAGTATTACTTAATTGGCAGTTTATAAATTAAGTTTTTTGTATTTTTGAAGGTACTAAAGAATTAATATAAAAGCCTGATTTTATCTTGACAGGTTATTTTTTTCTTAAAATTCAATTTGTAAATTTTTAAAATATATATAACCTGTATATTGACTTTATTATCTCTTAATTTTAATTGAACTTGTTAGCTTATTAATAGTACTTTGTTATTTAAAATAATTTTAAGTTTTAGTTGTAGCATAAAAACCTGCTAACTTCGTTTCTTAATAATATTCGATCTAAGAGCATTTTTTTTAAAAGGTTGTTCATAATTGTCAAGAACAACATGGTTTGAACTGGTTATCACCAGAATTAGCGTCTTCACTATGTGCAATATTTCATCGTCAACAGAATGCTGCAAGTTATTTTGAAGAGATCAAGAGACTCCAAGTCGGATTTGCGAATCACTGGTACGTTTTAAATATTTAACTTTTTCGTATGGCAAAATTATATATTATACGCTGACGCCTCTAAAGCGCATGTTATAAAATGCTCTTGGGATTGGTTTGTTTAGTTTAGTTTTATTAAGGAACTATTATAGGTATTTTTATATTTAATTGGAGATAAGTTGAACTATTTTTTTATTTCGTTCTTTTCGGTTTTGCCTGTGTTGATCTAGCTTTGTTCAGGAAACTTCTGTTTCTTTGTTTATTTTATTGGATGGTAAAAATTAGTATAAGATAATTACGTATCTAAAAGTTTTTAAGAGCTTTAGAGTTTGTTCCAGTTTATATTATAGTTTAAAAAGGATTTTAAAATAAATTAAAAAAGGTATTTAGTAGTTATTATTTCTGTGGAACATTCTATAGTTAGTAAACGGATCTATAAACTTTCAATTTTTATTTAATATATAGTTTTAATACGTAACACATTCAAAAAGAACTGTCTTTTTATCTAATCTAAATTACTGGAGAGTTTCAGATAAAAAGCCACAGCCCTTTAATTCTAGATTCCTCTTCACTTTTATTATATTATTTCAAATGATATGCGGTCACTTAAGTAAGTAAGTGTGGAACGAGATCTGGTGTTAGTACGTTTTTTAACGTGTACAGTTATTAGTCGTTAAAGGAGATCTCAGTTTGTTTGACCCAGAAAATCACTAGTTAGTTAGATAACCACCTTTTATGAGTCTTTAAGTCCGCTTCAGTAATATTGCAGTTTTCTTAAGACATAAATTTATGTTACCCTTTTCATCAAAATCTTATTCCTTTCTTACCTTTTCGACTTTTTTATTCTTCCTTTGTTCTTGTAAAAAAAGGCTTAATTAAAAAAATTTCTTTAAAAAGTTTTTGAAAGAGCGGGCTTCACGCAATATTATATATAGAAGTAAGTATAAACAAAACAAAGAAATTAATTACAATTTTATTATATAAATTATGAGCAACGAGCTCATTTACAGGAGTACTTCACTTCACTCTATTGAAATTTGGGATGAAGACAATTTGATTGCTGGAGAATTCGGATTTGCTATTGGAGGATGTTATCAATCGGCCTCTGGCTTTTCTAACAAAGCTTACAATGGAGCTGGAACTATTCAATGTGTCACTCTTGGTTCCAACCCTTTATCTATTGTGTATTGAATGCTTGTATTGACTTCCGTAGTAATAATGTCGGTTGTAACACAATCTGACGGAATTGTTAAAGTATGAAAGCATACATATATATATGAGTTAATAGAATATAAGAAAATAATTGATGGCATTTTTAGAGGTAACTTTAGTTCTAACCTGAAACTATAATCTGAGTATTTACTTTATAAGCTTTATAATTACATCCCTACCATAATTACTTTATCATAAGCTTTTGCTATCAATATGTCATTAATACTAGGTGCTGCTCTAGTTAGATTAGTTAACAGTTCACGTTAATCGCAGTACTTGTCCGCAAATTTAATATATACTTTTAAACTAACAACAATACATTAGGAATCATTTTAAAGGAAAACGGATTTGACTTTTGGGATTTAGGAATGAATTTGGAGTACAAACGCCGACTGGGTGCGCATGTAATCCGAAGAGAAGATTTTTTGACATTGTTGTGTAATACGAGAGACAGAGAAGACCTACCAGAGATGAACCAAATACTCAATAATAATGTTTTCTGTATTGATATAGTAAAAAGGCGTCTTTAAAGTAAATTCGGTGTTTATTTTAAAGCTGTACTACTGTTCTGTTAAATTAAAACAATAAATTTCAATATGAATAGTAATAAATTGTTTTGTATCTTTTATTTTATGTATCACTTTATAACTAGAAATAATTTAAATTTAGTAGGACATTTAGTCAAATATAAGCCGCAGAGGAAATACATATTCAGTTGACCTTTTTCTAAATTCCAATGAAGCCAGGGTGCTACAAAGAGTAGGCTTTCTTAATATAACCCATATTTATAACTAGATGTATTTTTTTAATAACTTTAACTTAAATTGTTGCAGCCTACATTTATTTATCATTGTAGTTTTGCTTTGGCCTCTTGCATTAAAAGCAGTAAAGAATAAGCCTATTTTTCCAAATATTTATGAGAGAAACCAAGCCCTATCTTTACCCCCTTGTATATTTTTAACAAGTCAAGCTAGTCAAACTTGCAGCCTGCTTAACAAGAAACGACGAAGGGGGAAGAGGAAATTAAAATAAACACAAACTATTAATAGAAAAATATATCTAGACCCTCAATTGACTTTTTTGTCAAAAAAATATTATAGATAACCAAAATTCAGCCCATTACGTTAAATGAGAGTTTTATAATCTTTGCAAACTGTTTTTTACTAGTACCTCCGTTGAAAACGTAAATGTATATACTTAATAATTATAATAGCCGTATTTAAATTCTTAAATAATACATACGAAAGTTTTTTTACAGTGTGCCTGTTTTTACAGGAAAAAGATCAGGAAAAATTAGAAGTCTTTATTTACAAAGGGTGTTTACGAATGCTGGGTTGGGTTAACGAACATTGAGTATTCAAGCCCTCAAACAGGTTCCCGTATAATTAACTTTTTGTCAAGATCTAATTACCCCTTGGGTTCGATTTAAAGTTAACTTTGTAATCAACCATAATCTCTAAGAAGGAGACCGTCACCACCGGCTCTAGCTCCCATTTCCCAATAAAATGCACCATTTTTTTCAACATCGCATTCGTTAAAAGGTACAGCAGTTTGTTTTATCGTACATGAGGTAATAACGCTCTTGCTAAAATGTCATTAACCTAAAAAGCAAAATCGCGTTTCATTGTCGGCCAAGTGCGAAACTTGTACACGCCTTCCTTTTACTGCCCAACGAAGGTTTGCTCGCTTTTTCACACGAAGGATGTCACACTTGGGTCGCTACCTCATAAGAAAATAACAAAAAAAGAAAGAACATAAAAGGATGGAGGGCTGATTTACTTGGATTGATAATTTTTATATATATATAATTTCCTATTATTCCGGAACATTTTTGTTGTACTGAGGGTTTAGTATGTTTGAGACACTTAATAATCATTCAGAATGTTATAACTGCATATTAATCAATTACCTCAAGAAATTCGTGAATTAGACTCCCATGTTTCTGTATAGATAATGAACTTCGTAAACATCTCAGTTAAGTTTGTTGCCGAAGTAATGCCCTTAATCTAGCAATTATTTCTTTGTAATTCTTCTTTAACATAGTGATAAGCGATATCAATATCTTGTACGCCTATTTGAAGCATCGGTTTCAGTATATCTTTTACTGCTTCGTTATCGGTATAAATTTTTATTTTGATATCAAAGTTAGGAAAAAGTTCAATAATTATAATTTGTATTGCAAGGGTGTTCAATAAAGCCTTACTTAAGGCAATATATTCAGCTTAAGAGGAGGATTTGTTAATTTTAGTATTGTCAAGATAGGAATACTATAGATAGGGCTGCGATTGATAAGTATAATATAGCCCACTGTGGTTTTGAAGTTGTAACTATTAGCTCGTGAGCATCACAGTAGCACTCTATTAGTATGCTACGTTGATAACGCTGGTTTTGAGGGTAATGAAAGTTCTTTGGTGTAGTATAAGTATTGCAATGTTCTTATTACATATTTCATGTGTTCTTCACTACTGCATTGCAGAAACCTTCCCAACATGGAAGTCGTGTATGTGATATCCGGCCGTGTGCTGTCAGCTATGTTTAGTAACGATCTAAGTAGGCTGCAGTGCACATGACTAGGACTGTCTTCCAAATAGGGTTTCACTTTAATGCTGGTAGAGATTGGTAATTTCAATTATGCTTGGTGCCCAATACGAAATTTCGATGCAATCGGTAATTTCCAGTTTGATTCAAGATCGAATATCTCTATAGTTTATTATGTTATTCCTAAGGGTTTTTTTTCTAAGTTTGTAGCATTCTTTTATACTGTACTCTGCTTTCATTTTTCTAAGGAAAGATTTAAGATCTCCAACTACAATACAGTTGTCTTCATATATTCCTACCTATGTATCTAAATTTGTAGTGAAAAACGCACTCATAAATTTTGTTCTGTATATATCCGTACCTTTTTAATATTGATAAATCTTTGTGAAAGAGCCTAGCAGAATTTTTAAAGGTATAAAGCTATGTTAATTTTTAAAACACATTTGTTATCTTTATTGAAAAAAAAAGGAAGTAAATATGATAGGTTGAACATACCTTCTTCGTAAACCGCGTCAACTATAACTTATTTTTTTTTGACGGTTTTAAATATATAGTCATAGGAACTAAACCTCGATTACACAAGGCTGAAGTCTAGGTAACAATCGACGAAACCCACCCACTCTTCTCACGTAGGAATTTGTATATAAATACAATACCGCAGGTCATACTCTAAATCGGCCAACAAATTACCAGTTGATAAAATGGGCTTTACATGAATTTAGAAAAACATACTACGGTTTCGTTAAGAAAACCAACGCTCTGATTAAAGAGCTGTCGGTTTATATTTAGCGCAACCAAATTTGGTATTGGGCATACGTGACCCCTTTCTAACAAAAGTAGTTGCTATTTTCTAAATTTAGAATTGTTTTTAATTGCGAAGTAGTTATTACTATGTCTTTTTCTAGGCCGGTCTATCGAAGGGAAGCGAGACCACCGCATTAGATATGACTCATGGTTGACGACTTATTAATCAACCTTAAGCTTTCCGTTAGCCTCTACGAGATTAAAGATGCAGGGGCATATGAAAGTTTTTATTGCAAATTTTTAATTGATTTAAGTGAGGTAAATTTTTTTTAAATTTGCGCAAGTAACTGTAGCCTTTTCTACTTAAATAGATGGGTTTAAAAATGAGTTTTTGTTAACTTTTTATAGTACCAGTCCTATTAGTAAACGTTTTGATACGGGCCGCAAACGAAATATTTGTTAATTATTATTTTATTTTTTTTTAAATTGCAAAAATTGTTCAATTATTATGTATCTATTAAAATACGTAGTGGAAAAGGACGTCAGTGATTACAAACTTTTTAGAGAATAAAGTAAAAGGTTTGGCAACAAGTCAAATTATTATTAGAGAAAAATTCGTTGTAGGGGATTTGCCCCCCTACTTTCAGCGCACTCAAATCGTCCTATATGGGAGAAATAAGCAAGTGATTCATCTTGTTAATTGCTAATAGTTATCTTTTTTAGCCTTTTGTTTTAATAGTTAGAAAGTTGCCTAGGTTTGGTAGAAATTCCAAGAGAATCATTGCCTGCTGTGAGTGGGAAAGAGGACTGGTACGTTTTAAGGTGCGCCCGTATATAAAAAATTATAAATAATTTTATTATTATTTATTTTACCAGTGTTTTTTATAAAATTATGAGCCACTTTTCTCTTCTAAATTATTTTGCTATTATTAAAACAATATTGTGTTTAACGGCAATTTTAAGAGATTTTGACACTGACATTCAAATCGCTGGGGAGGTTAAGTTACAAGTTGAAGCTTATAAAACACCTCAAGGACCACAAATATCCCTTCTTTTTCTTGAGGGAAGAAAACTAAATTTCACTGTTAGCAATTCAAGTTTGCTTGCCTATATTACTCTAACAGGTTTAGGATTTATAGAAACGCCAGTACATAGATGATAATAAACAATACTAGAGAAAGGCTTTTCTGTTGACTTGGGGACTGTGGAAATTACGAAAGGTCCAGCTCTTTTATTTAAAAGCAAGGAAACGTCCTTCTGTTTAACCGATGTGAAGGGTAAGAAGCAAATAAACTTCTTTTTTTGGAAGTTTGTATTGCTGTGCTTATCAAGGTTTTTTCAGTTTACTAATGTTGGCAACATTTTAGACCTTGAAAGCCAACAGATCATGGTCTGTCTGCATAACGTTTCCCCTGGGGCTTTGACCTGCGAGGACTCTCTTGTAGGAAAGGTGGAGAGTCTGGCTTTTCGCCTTTATTTACTAACCGGCACAACAAACAGTTGGTTATTCCTTTAAAATACATCCGTGTCGGCTCAAAAGTAACTTCATGGTACCCGCTAAACCGTTACTATCCACTCACCCTGGGCGATCCCGTCGGCACTAAAGTTCGAATGAAGCTCTTCTATTCGAACCTCCCAGTTCTACCCACGCCAGGTGCCTTCTTATGTTGGCGTTTATACTGTATAGCGCACATATTTTTTTAGCGTATGAACCGATTTGGGAAGTCGTAAAGGATACTCCAACGTTTTTAACTGAAGCGTTGAACGAAGAAAGTCGGAATAAGGAGGATACTAGCAAGATACTGCTAAAGGCTTTTCTCTCGAAGAATTGTCTCCGAATGCATTTAAAAAAACTTTCTGATTACGAGGTTTTTAACACCTGTGAACAGGTGATTTTCTTTCCCATTTTTTTCTCTTTATATTACTTGTTGGCAACTTTAGGGAGACAGTCTATTCCGTTCTAATTCCATAACCACCAAAACGTTTGAAGCGTTTATAAAGCGGGTTTGTGCCTAGTTTTTATATACGAGGGTTCTCTTCTTTAAAAAACATTTTTTTTGTGCCCTTCATAGGTTGGGCATCAGTATTTACGAAAAACCGTGGGCCCATCCATAGAGGCTCTTTTAAAAGAGAAGAAGTCGTGCGAGATAAACCCAAGTTTTATTAAGAAAGGTTCGTCTCTAGGGAAAAACCTGAAAACTCTAAAACGTCATGTTTGTGGTGTTGTCGAGACCATTTTAGCTTCAGGTGATTGCCGGTTGACCCCGTTTTCCCCCCGTGGTGTTGAGTTTTGCGTGTACAGTCTCCGAGTGCCCTATAGAGATCCGGGGCGCCATGTACGACTTGAGAAAGAGTGCTATGGAACGGTTCGGGCCAACTGTGCGCTACACGGCCGTTGCAGCTTTTCTGATTCTGCGGTTCTTCAGCCCCGCAATTATGGGCCCTCATCTTTTTGGCCTTGCTGATAAAATACCCGATGACAATGTAATCAGGGGATTTGACTTTTCGCCCCGCTACGTTCACTGTGCTCTATATTTTGCAGGTCTCGAGAGCTCTTACGTTAGTGGCCAAATGTGTTAAAAACGTTTTCTTTTTCGTCGCATTTGAGGAAAAAGAAGAATATATGCTGCCGATGAATCTCATTATTAGCAATTATACGGATAAAGCAAAGTTCTTCTTCGACCGGTTCTGCACCGACAGTCAGCGCGAGTGCAGTCCACTTGCTAATGGGGCCAAACGCTTAGCGTTACTGTACTTTGCCTATCTTGCTATATTCGCCTTCAGTATATGAACCTCGTTGAAGGCATCAGCACTTCGTTGCTCTCTTGCCTGACTTGAAAGCACGAGCATTGAAATGTACGGACAGTAAGCGCTGCCTCCAAAACCTTGTATGTATCGTAGAGGACCTGCAAGGTCCGACTTAACCCATTTAATCTTTCGCGGTTTATTGCTCAAATTTTAACCAACTTTGTTAGCATTACTTTTAAGTAAATTAAATGCTTTAAAACTCCTTTCCAAGAGGGAGGTTTGTCTCATTTATTTATCCCTTTACTTATTCTGACTCGACCCTATTATTTTATGCGATGCAAGCGAACATCTGTTGCCCCTCCCGGTCCTGTCGTGGAAAAGGCACCAAACCAGCATCCTGGAGAAGTTTTTACTTGGGAACATACTATGGATGAAGAAGCCTGTAAGTTAGACCGTAACGAGAAGTCGGTGGTTCGGCTACTGGTAAGAACAGTAGGTTTGTACGGCCCAGCTTTTGTCCTATCACTGCTGTTTTCAATTTCTTGAACTTTGCTATAGTGCATCACGTCACTATGCTTCTTACTCGGTACTCTGATTCTGACGGAGGACGCACGTTCGGGCCTGTGCTTCAGAATCTGAATGATTCTGTATTGGGCACATATAATGCGCAGCATACGCACATCGAAGCATCTTCGTACTTGATTCTTCTATTTTGTTCGAGTTCCTCATATTGCCCTATAATCCTTACAGGTTTCTCTCAGTAAAGTACTCTGAGCTGACTGCCTTTGTGAAGTCGCTGAAGTTGTTGGCGGAGCAGTGCGACAGCAGCGGGTCTACTCTTGAGGCTGAAGCATTGATGAAAGTAAAACTTTTTAATGCATGTTGTTGGAGAACCACGTATTCCCCCTTCTAGGAAGCCCTTGAGTTTGTTAAGTGGGTCAAATTGTTTGCCAGTAAGACTTCTACTTTTCTCGAAGCAGATTTTGAGTCTAGGGAAGACTTTAAAGATTTTAAAGCGGTATACACCGATACCTCCTATGGTTATTTCTCTCATCTGCTCATTGAAAGCAGCAGCCTGGGGAATTAGCACAGCAACCCGAACCCAGTAAAATGCACGACATGGAAGCCCTAACACAAGACTTTGATAGCCTTCTCGGTTAAGTCATAGTTGTCCATCCCTTTCTCTTACCACCCTCAACTCTTTGTTGAAGGCTTTGATGCCGGGCTTCAGGACCTTATCGTTGTCTGCGTATTTGTAGAAGAGAGTTCGCCTCATTCTTTGAAGGTACGTGTATAGTTATTGCGGAACAACTTGGCGTTCTCATGTGACCTGCCATGGCTTAGACTTGCCACCGTATACTGAAGCAGGCTCGCTCTATCCATGGTTACTGCTTTTCTGATGGTGCCCATGAGTGCAGCTGTACTTTTAACTCGCTCTTGGATGCCTTGGCCTTCGTATCCGCTGTAGCGTGCTTTTTGACCGTCAGAAAATGTTTTCTTATAGCTGCTACTTTCTGAGCAGACGCAGCACGCCTTACTGAAAGTTGACGTCAGTTGGCAGATGAATCAACCTAGTACTGAAGAAGCTTATGCTACTGAGTCATTGATCCTCCAGATGGGGTTCGGAATTAGCGGCGGGCGTGCAGAATGCAACCTTGATAGCATAACTGGTACTTGGTGCTAGACTTCTAGCCTTATCATAATTATTGTTCTTGGGACCAATTATAGGACGTTTAGTATACTCTGGGCCTCCTGTTCAGAGAGCAGAAAGTCTCAGGTGGCATACCTTTTCTTTTAGCTGTGCTGCTCTCGACTTACGCCCCTCTTAACGGCGCAGGGATGTCAGTGCCAGCGGGCAAGTTTTGGTTGACAAAGGTTGCTCTTTGCCCTTTTTCTGTCAAAAGCGCACATACTATCTTACGACATTGCAGACACATGGGATAATCTAGCTGAAAGCGTTACCAAAATTCTTAAAGTTCGTGCTAGGGAAGTAGGGGAGTTGGGCCCACCGCGCTTTCCAAGCCGTATATTATTGTCTTGTTGTGCATTCTTTATTTTTTGCAACTTTTTGACAGGGCTAAAAGTTGTTCAGCTTGACCTTCCTGGCCTTCCTGAAAGACAGTTTCCGCCAATAGTCAACGATCAACGTACCTCTTTACTGTCAACACTTTTACACTGCCTGCTCACATGTAACAGAGGGGCACCGAAATATGTTTATACGAAAGTTTAGGCTTCAGCAGAAAACGCTTCCAAGAGGTAAGGTTGCCTGTGTCTCTATATCCATTAAGGTTCGTGGTTTTCTGTTGTTGTGTTGCTGCAATTCGCCTGATCATATGATTTTTTTCTAGAATATGGAGAATATTCAAGAGAAAAATCATGCTGCCTTTTTGCAAGCTCTTCTTCTCTATGAAGAAATTATAAAACGCTGTTCCGCCTACTGGTATCCTTCAAAGCCTTCACATGAAATTCACCTCTTACTTTTTACTGAGGCATGGCCATGAGCTCAAATGTGACAACGGCGTTTTTGAATCCCTTTTCAAAGAGCTTAAGAAAGCCGTGGCCTTTGCGTTGATGTGCCACGAAAAACTGAAGGAGGCCCCGTGGGCGCCCGATATTTTAGAACTCCCGGAGGCCTCTACAACCCGAGGCGGCTCACATAATATACTCGTGCATAGAGGCCTTCGAGCGAAGATAGGGATCGACTACGGCCTCGTACTATCCCTCCCGGACAGTTTGACCGGCACGTTTAGGTTCCGCGGCAATGTGCTCCTGCGGGCCGCATCGTTGAGGTTCAGTTTGCTTCTTGTGTGCTACTGACAACTCTCTTATAGCGTATTATTTACAACAAGAAACTATGCGGACGGAGGGCAAACGCTGCTATGCCAAGCACTGCTCCCCAATTTATTATCTTCAGATTTGCAGCAGCTCAAGGCCAGCACACGAGACATTGGTTTTTTGGTGCTTCTGAAGTCGGGTAACCTGGAGCCAATCTCGCAGGTGAATGCGTATAAAAGACGGTGTTGGTGGATGGATTCTACTTATAAACTGCGGAGGCAGATTGTTAAGAAAGAGTTAAACTTCTACAATTTCGTTGTTACTCCTGATAATAACCTGGTGCCGTCTTATGAGAGACACACCAGAAGAATTCAGGTACCTCTTTTCGGCTGTTTGCTATTTTACTTCACCTTTACTCCAGCATAGTCAGGTCATTCGGAGATGTGGGCTTTGGTTGAAAACGAGCTACGCGCTATAGAATCACCAACCTGCGACGCTCCTCGCAGGCTATGTGAAGTGTGCAAGGAAGCACTTTCGCCGTGCAGCGACTGGGTTAGCGTGGGCAGTAAGTCTTTTCATAGGTACTTCCACTACTGCGTTCTACTAGTAAGTATGGCTGCCATAAAGAATTTTAAGGCAACACTTCACATGCGTCTGTTGCAAGCACAGCCTCATTGACCGCTGCTTCGTTGAAAGCCAGGACTCCAAATTCTACTGCACGGAAGACTACGAGAGGATCTTTGCCAAGGTTACTCCTCCCTTTCCCTCCCTTGCTGCTTCCTATTGCGTTTTATTAGGTCTGTGCCTCTTGTAACGGAAAAATTGATAAGCGAGAGGCTCATCTTAAAGCTTGCGGGAAGGTGGTGCTTCCGCCGTGTTTTTTTCATCTCAAGTCAACATTGTCATTTTATTTGTTTAGTACTTCCACAGCGACCATTTCTTGTGTGCTCACTGTGGCATCAACTTAAAAACCAACCCGTTTATGGAGGTCTACGGCCAACCGTACTGTCTGAAAGACTTTGAGGACTATATAGCACGCAGATGCGCCGCTTGTCATATGCCTATCGAGGGTCCTTATTCTTTCCTGCTCTGTTTTCCACTATGTTCACTCAATGCAGATGTTGAATTCGTTGAAGCCAAAGACAACTCCTGGCACGTCTCTTGTTTCAAGTGTGAGGTCATAACATCGCCCTTTGGCTCGTACCGAGCTCCGTGTTCTTAATTGACTCCCTCGCCTTCAGATTTGCTACAGTTGCCCAGAGGAGAACCAAACCTTTTACATTCAAGAAGGGAACCTTCTATGCCGCTCCTGCCGTCTAGCACAAGAGTCATCTAGCCGGCAATTACCCGGCAAGTTTTATAAAACGCCAACCACCCAATAAACTTAAGACACTATGTGTCATTATTCGCCTAATCAAGCTATACAACTTTTTACCCTGAAGCAGTCGTTCTGCCGGCTATTATTTGTTGTACTAAAACGGCTAATATAGCATGTGCTTTTATTCTTTCTCTTTTGTTGTTAAAAGGAGGCACAAAAATGGCATTTACAGGTCTTTTTTAACTTGTTATTGTTTATAATATTGCACAAAATAACTTTATTAAGGCGGTTCTTATAAATAATTTATAAACGAGACACGTAACAACCGTTATGGGATAACTACGAAATTTTTAAGTAAAATTTTTCCGATACGTAGTATTTCTACTAGCAGTTAGAAGGCGTAGTAAAAACCTCAAATATTACCTTTGTAAATTGTTTGGCACATAACGTGCGCGTTATATTATAATATGAGAAAGGCAAACTTCCTTATAATATTCACTTTAATAAAAACTGTTCCCGTGCAAACAAAAATTATAAGTAATTTTTTACTAGTTTTTCCTATGTGGATGTTATTTCCATGTCTCATTTTTTAAAGTTACGTAGCTTTCCTTTTACAACTGTAAACAAGTCCCTCCGTGTAGTCCTTAATCTAAGCACTGATTCACATTTTTAAGAACTAAGAATGAACTGCGTAGGTCACAATATAGTCCACTATCTCAACCCGCAAATTTCACTCACCTTGTACTAACTGAAGAGTAAATAACTCCTTTAATAATTGGCTTGAATTAATTCTAAGCGTATTGATACTTAAGAGGTTACTTTAAAAAAGACAATAAGCACTATAAGTTGATATAAGATTTGAATTATATGGTCTTGTTAAAAAGAGAGGGACCTGCCCGTACCAGTTGTTAAGAGAGGACAGCTCTTGAAACTGAAAAAATTCTGAGGTATCTTTAACGCTCATCTGATTAAAAATCCTGGCCTGACGGGGCCAGAATAAAATTTATTAGGGCAACGTTGAATTCGCAACCATTAAGGACCGAAGAAGAGGATCACTTCGATGAAAAGCAAACTCACGATCTTAATTTGCGTGCTAACACTCTCAATTGCTATATCAAGGCGACAAACCTCAAGCCCGGTATGGTGGTTTTACTTAGTCAACCTGCTGTATGGAATTTACATCAGAACTAAGGCCAACGATCTATTGGAGCACGTTGGCTTACGGTCAAGAGAAGGGTTGAACTTTTACAAAAGTGCTCCCTAATCTACTCTTCAGGCAGCGAGGGCATGAGTCAGAGAGCGCGGCGATACTGCTACTCTTGGGGGTAGAGAAATTGCTTAACACTTATATACTTGTTCAACCTCGAGCCGATAGCCTAATGGGACTTCATAGGCTTCCGGATATTTAAAAATGTGATACCAGCGCCGAACAATAGAGGGTAGTGATCATCGTTAAAAAGGTAAAGAAAAGGCAGTGAATTAAGGTCAGAGGGTTAAGTTCTTAGATGCGATGGTTACTACCGTGGGTACAGGCTTGTAATACATTTGAGCAAGCATTTGTGTAAACCGATGACCTCTCACATAGAGCTAAAAGCCCAAAGGTGCAAAACTTTTCAAGTTCAATTAAGATAATTAAATGAAAGACTAAGTTGATTCTAACCCTATAAGAATGTACTGTTCAAGGCGAAATATACAGGCAAGTTCTATCCGGAAAGCTTAAGAAAAACCTAACAATGGTGTTAGGGAGCCCTCAGTATTGTGACTAGTACGAATGCGCAGGAAAATTGGGTCTGTTTTTAGCGATGGCCAACCGGACCCGCTTAAATGGCATTTGAGGAACCACAAGAATTTAGATTACTTAGATATTGCTAAAGGGTAAACAAACACTCGCGATGCCACGCAAGTGCTCGGGTGTAAGACCTGGAGTGACTACTGAAAATAAATTAGCCGGTACAATAGAAATAAAAACCCCTAAGCATTTCTTAAAGAAGATATGTTGTTAAAAGCTGACGGAAAACCTCGAGATAATTAGCGAAAGATGAACTTTCCGCATCGCCTGTTTCTTCAAGCTGTTAGCCCAAAAACATGGGCAAAAACATGCTTATCATTATTCCCTTAAGCCAAAGATTATGGAAAATTGAGGCTCTGAAGAATATGAGTTTAGTAGAAGAGAAGGGAGGAAGCTCAATGAGTCCCAACACTACTTATGAGGACGAAAATTTCGGAGGCGTGCCAAAGTACCCAACTTATAAAATAAACTTCCACATCATACCGTGCAATCAATATAAGCTGGGAGCACTGTTTAAAAACATAGCAGTCCAAGTCCTTGCAGTTCTAGGTTATACACACACATGTCATAGTATATCATAAGGATGCAGTTAAAATATATAATATTAAATTGTCACCCAAAACATTATAGCATACCGAACTTGCATGTATAAAGCCCTCGTCAGCAGCTCCAGTCTAAACTAAAGAGGAATTGCTGTAATTATGACTGCCATAATATCAACATGGCCAAATTATCTTAATACTAACGAAGACCAATTTCGATCTTACACCACGACATTTTGATACGAGGTCTCCTCAATATTCATTAAGAAAGCTTTTTTTAAATATTTTAGTACCACACATGTTACTAGCAGACACACCTTTACGGTACCACCACAGTTTTTATTAAAGACAAAGCTGGCTGGGGAGACAGGCATAGAGGCATATTGCTGGGGAGATGAAGTGTAATAGAGAAACCTTTTTTAACACTCAACATTACAGCCTTATAGCGGTTTAGCTACTGAAGGACTAAAAACCCTTCAATTTTTTTTTTCATATGTTAGGGGTCCCAATATTTATTAAATGAGATTATAGCAGTTATTTATTGCTTGGCAATCACTTCAATTTTTGCCGTTCAATCCCGCCAAAGACAAAGTTTCAACAGCTCCGAAGTTTAACTTTGTTATAACAAAAATACGAGAAAAGAAACAACAGGTCGTCATATTTCCCATCATACTGCAAATTAAGGTTAAATAATAAATTTTACGAGCAATGCCACAGTTAAAACATGATATTTCTTACTAAAATAGGACACTTGAATATTTCTAACCTATCCAAGCTACTCCTTTAAATATATAAATTTTTTAACAGGAGTCACTACTGTTTACAGACACATTGTTTTTGTAAATGAGTTTGCAGCCTCAGCGTCAACCAAGTCGAAGCACGAGAAGAGCAAAAAAAAAAAAAAACTTGGAAGAAGAATACCACTGTATAATTCAGACTGTCGTATTGCTTATAAAATTCGTATATTGCTTCAATAGTGGCCAGATGGGTTGGGGGTTTTCTTCTTTGCGGCCGCCAGAATTTTGTGTGAAGCTGTAAATAATCCCAATAAAAAAGGACGCATGACAGGCACACACTATAAGCACACTATAACAGCTGCTTAAAATATCATAATTAATTAATGTAAACACTCGCTGAGTTAAAGTCGCCGGCTATCATAAAACAAAGAGTTTTAACAGAAATGGACGATTCCATTGAGAAAAAATTAAACAAAAAAGTGGTAATACAAAAACAATTAACTTCAGTTAACTTCACTTTTGGAAGGCAAAAATCCTCCAAGTAGCGCATAACTTTAGTGACCTGGGACCATGTGCCATCCACGAACACCACCTTTTCTCATAAAAATAATAATACAACTATATAAAGTGAAAAGAGCAGGCATTATGGGAGCTGCTTATCCCTATTAAACAAAAAATATATACACATAATTTAGAATGGACAGCACTGAACTTCTTAAGCAATGAAATAGGCTCATAACAATACATAGCAAACTTTATTCCCCACAAAAGTGAGTTAATATTTATAATTTCAAAAGTGTCGACAAGAGTTTTCCGGTTTAAGATATTTTGGCTACTCACTTAATAAACTTAAATAAAAACAAAGATAATCATGAAAACTAAAAAAAGTATTCTGCTTTTTAGTTAATCGTATAATAAAAAGTTTGATACAAGAGTGAATAGCAGCTTCTTCATTATACAACATATAAGTAAAAATTAAAAAAAATCGGACTCTTTTAATAAACTTCAAATCGAAATCGGTAAGTTCTTTAGCATTGACTGCAGGAAACACAAGTACATCGCCTTCTTGAAAAGTTGGAAGTCCTCAAAACAAAGTTAAAAGGTAACAAGTAAATTAAATATTATTAATAAGTAAATTTTATATGCACAAATATACAAATGAAGGTTTGTCATTCTAAAAAAAGTTAGCTGATACTTTTAACTCAATTATTAAAAACCTATAAGGAAATAAAAGTTTTCATTAAAAAGAAATAAAATCTACTTCTCAAATCAGATTTCTTAACAAAATTTTTATAAAAGAATAAAAAAATTGTGCAATAATATTGTAGATCGTTTACAATATACAACATTCAAGTGCACAATGGTTAATACAAAAAAAACTAATTGCAGTCTTGTGTGCTAACAGAACGATTAGTTTAGGCAGTAGTGTGCAGTGCATAAAAAAGATAGTTTACTTTAATTACCTGATGCGGCTTATGATAAACTTATGAAATTAAGAGTACAAGTTCACAATATAGATAAAAGGTAAAAATAAGACACAAGAAAAATAAAAAAAGAAAAAATTAATTCTAAAAATAAACTCTAAATAATAAGAGAAAAAATTACTAAGCTTACATCATCCAGAGGTCACCTTTTTAAAAACATCATAAGCAATATATATATACATTTATAATCTAAAAATGTATATGTCACAAACTATTTTAAATAGCAAAACCTGCAGAAGGAAATTCAAAAATTGTTGTGTCTGCTGCCGCCAAAATTTTGGCGTGAATAGAAGTACTTTTTCCATTTAGCTCGTTGTTATGTTTAATACTAGGTAATAAAAAAACTTAGAGATAAGTCAAAATTAAGCAAAACATCTAAAAATAGTTACATTATTAAAGGCAATGGCAAGAAAACTTTAGGTAGATTACTAACTAAAGGGATACAGCAGTCATAACAATAAAACTTGCGCGTGCGTCGGCAATGCAAACACTTAACTCTTCCAGAGGAGTTGGCCTCTCTAAACTCAATCAATCACAAATTTTTTTAGTACAAATAAGTATATTACTCTAAAGGTAAATGTGAAGAGATCAAAAGATTATTAAATTCAGTTATAATATCAACTTTCGTAGCAGGTTGGTCTGTCTGCGTTTTTGTTTTTTTTATTCAGTAGATTTTAGTAAGGGGAATAATACAAATTTTTGGTGAATTAATAAACTTAGAGACCATAAACTAGTCAGGAAGTAAAGTAAAAATACTACTTGGGTTGAACATACGACTCAATAAAATTGATAGCCCGTATCAAAAAGAACTGCAACTCTGCCTACCTCCATTAATCAAAAACAAAGGATATTGTCAAATCGTAAATAGTTGTATAAAATATCCTCCTACCCGCAATGTGCATACCTTGAACCACCCTTTCGTTATCTAAATTTCTATTGATCTTATAATGGTGATTACAACGTGAGATGATGAAACTTTTAGATTAATGAAAGTTTAAAAATAATTATAAATTTCATTTAAATTATTCTAATAATGTTTATTTTCTGTCCATATATTTAAAAGTAATACTGAAAAAAATGTTCTTCAACCGGAAAACAGGTCTGAAAATAGTAGGAAACTGTTAAGCTAAGTCGAGGAATAATGAGTAACTTAAGTAAACCACAGACAAATCTAGAAATGGCTTTTCATAAATTGAATATATAAAGCTACTAAAACCCCCAATCTCTAAGTGAGCTTATAACTTCTTACTAGGTTCATATAGTACATTCATAAGGATGTGAAAAGAAGTATAATAACAACGATAAAATTCCCTTATTACATTCCAATGTAGTCAAACTTAAAAACGTTTTTTTAATTATAATAGTGATAAAAATGTCAAACCTGGGGTGCGATGACTTTCGCAGATAGAGTTTGGTTAAATAACTATACGTATCAGTCACTTTAAAAAGGGGGGTGTTTATTTTTTAAACGTACAATGAATGTTAAAAGTTTAGTTGGAAACTTAAAAAAAATTTAATCTTAAAAGTTATTTTGCTTGAAATTATAAAAAGTAAAACTGTTCCGAAAGCTTTAGTATTATTAAATAACAAACAATTTATATAGTGGTCCACTAAACTACAAAGCTTTTTAATAACCTAAAACGCCCTTAAACGTTAGGAGATCCACTGTCCTAAGGTGTGGGTTGTCACTGTAGCTCCATGGTTAGAGTATTGTCGCGCAGTTTCAAGGTCGCGGTTCACTTCCCGTCGGTGACAACGGGTCTGGTGGTTACGCATACAACTTCCTTACAAAAAAAATTTGGATACTCAATCTTTAAACGTTATCGCTGCTTCCTAAACTCAAACTGTGATAGTAAAGACGCAATGCCCTGACAAACGTTTAGAGAGAAAAAACAAACCGAGGAGCATAAAAAATGTTCTAGCTACGCATTTTATTTATTGGTTAATAACACTAGCATGCTACAAGCGTACTCACTATCAATTACTGTTTAATCTTATTCCCCACTAAGTGTAGGTGCGGAGCCACCGACTTTCACAACGATTTACTGGGCCATTAATTTTTACGGATAATATTTTTTTTTATTGATGAATTTTGCGGATGTTCGGTATGTAGACCGTAGCCCCCTTATTCTTGGTTGGGGCGCGATTATGTACCCGTACATCTCCAAGGAGTATCATAATGCTCCGATTTACTAGGGGGGAGGGCAGTACGTGGTAAGACTCCCCGGAGATTTGACTTCTCAGAACGGACAAGCCGAAGTGTTATTCGCCAGTGCACTCCCCCAACAGATAATATATATATACTTTACATATTTGGCCTATTAAGTTTATAGCTACCTAACCAACATCAATTAGCTAACCTTCGCAAGATTAAATCCCAAATCCTTAATGTAAGAAGATTAAAATTTTAAACAAAAATGATCACCCTTTGGTTCCCATAAAACTGCAGAAAACTTAAACTGCAATTGTAATTTTAAAAAATTAACTATAACTCAGTTTCGGTAGGATTCTTAAAAGTGACCAAAATAATTTGTTTCCGCTGTCGAGTTAGGGATTGCTAGATTTCTTGCTGTTTTAAAAGCGGATGCACTTCTTAGGTATAGGAAATCAATTATTAAAGTAGCGAGCCCTAACAATGATCACATTTTAAAGTCCTAAACGGTGTAAAATGCGACAATAAATGCACCTATCACTGGGAAAGTGATAAAAACTTGCGATGGGCAATTTGCCAAAGGAGCGCATGACTAATTGCAAAGGCTGTCTATTTTATTAGATTTACGAGGGCGAGTTTAAATCCGAACTTTCAAAGACCAAAGAAGAGTCCTACAGAGCAATAACAACAACTTTTGATCCCAGTAAGATTGGGTTACGTATTAAAATAGTAATATTCTACTTAAAGATGTAGCACTTTATAAGCAAGCTAAAGTGGAAGAATATATTGCTTATGACATAATTTCCACATATGTAAAGGGCTAAATACATAGTCAAGGGAATGATAAGTTTTGTTGCTTCACTACAAAAGCAAGATCAAAAATCCTTTAGTGAATTATTAAAAAAAACTTTTTAATTTATTCAAGCACAATTGACTTTTTATAATAATACCAAAAGAAAGGTAAGCTTAAAGACAAAAGAAGGAATTTTTTTTCAACTCTTTTTATGAAAGTGAACACGATATGCTAATCTAAGAAGGATCATCGAACAGGCAATTATAAGCCATATACCGGAGTCATGCAACAGCGGCAGCACCCCTCCATATAATAAACTTTGTACGGGTCAGAAATTGCGGACACCACCGTCACTTCACGAAGGATAGACTGTGATTGGAAGTGATATATAAAAAGCTACTCTTCGCTAAATTTTTCGTGCCACCTGCTTTCTTAATTGTCGAAGATGTACCCCCTCAAACGAATTATTTTCCCTCGCCAATACCTAACGAGCTACTTGAGTTAGTTAATACAGACTACAAGCAGATGTTGAAGCGCTACCAAAACCAAAGACGCCTGGCCCCGATAATATATAAAAGAGGTGCTTAAAAAATTGCCGTTAGCAGCGTTACAATATCTGTGCCTCTAGTAAATTCAGCGATGGTCGTAATCACCTTTACACCAAGATGGAAGCGGCAACTGTTGTGATGCCGCCGAAGGCACCGATACCAAAATCTGTGACTTGCAAAACACCGACCCGTCAGCCTCCCGTTAGTGGTCGGCAAATTGGGCGAGGCCGCTAAGTTATCTTAGGGAAATCGCTAACTCTCGTGACGCCTTGCCGAATCTCCAATTTGGTGTTCGACAAGGGTACTTAAATTACTCAGCAGCTCCTCCGCCTAATAGAATGGACTACTCGCGTTTTTAAAAAAGGTAACAAGCGTCGTCTTCCTCGGCCTTTAGCATGCCATTGGACACGTCTGGCATGAAGGTCTGCTAAACAAGATACGCACGTTAACCGTTCCTCGTGGCCTTTGCCAGGCGCTGAAGTAATATTTAAACGGTCGCGTCTTTAACGTGCTCGTGGACATTGCGATCACTAGACATTATTATGATATCTTCTCTTGCCCTTACTGTTCAGATCAATAGGCGCGACGTGCTCTTCAAACCAAACCCCACACACGTATAGTCCTAGACGTCGAGGATAAAACTTTTTACTCGTCGTTGAACACTTCCCCGCTCCGCTGAGGCAGCTCTGCAGAGCTGACTTGGCGCGCTCGCTGATTGGTGTCATAAATGGAAAGTTACTTTAAAAACGAGGAAGAAAAGCATCCCTTCGTTAGCACCTTTGACCTTCAATGCTCCTTGGAAATCCTCGGAGTCATTACTGACAAGGACATTTTGTGGTAGTTTCACGTGATCGATGTCGAGGCGAAGGTCAAGGCAGCGAGAGCGAGGTTTCGCTGCGACAAAAAACGGTGTGTATCTTGCATCCAGTCAGTGATGACGTAAACTTCTGCTGCATGAATTTATAGCGTCTGCACTCTAATTACAACAAAACAAGTTGCTGAGCGTGACGACAAGCGCACCGTAGTTTGTACGAAATGAAGCCCTTCACCGGTTCTCAGTTAGACCTATTAAGTGCTGTCTTCCATCGCAATGTTTTTGTCCTTTATGACTGCCAAACCAAACAAACTAACCACCTGCTGGTGAGCAAGCTCATGTAAGAAACAGGTGAAATAACAGAGGCTATTGTAATGACTGGGGCCGTCATTACTTATGATCGGGAGCTCGAGTATACAAAATTTTGACTAAATCGAGCACCAGGAAATGGCTTTTATAATAAATAAAATAATGTGATCGTCTCTTTATCGCTGTGACAGAAATAACAAGATATAAGCACTTTTTAAGATCTTCCGCTGTGTCGAATTTCTCTACGGCATTATTATTATACCTTAGGCAACAATTTCCTGTAGTAGCGTTCTTGACCGAGCGCGCACCCCCTTTCGGCTTATAGTGCTTGGCACGTTTTCGGGGGGTACCAGATTTTTATAAATAATTATATAATCTTATATAGGATACGGCGCAAAAACTCAGTTAAAATCTTCTGGCACCCACGCCAGACAATAATTTAATGAATTTAAGATAATTTAGAATTATAACCAAATCAAGCGTGACATTAAACAATATGCTTTTTTTTTCAAAATATCGGTGCCTTAAGTTGTCACGTTGTTACATTCAAATAATCTTATTATTTCTATGAGGACAAGGAGGTGCCAATGCAGCAATAACAGTTGTTAAACAATGTGAAAAGCTTAAGTAGAGCGAAAGACGGATGACTAAACTAAATAGAAGGCTCATAGGTAGCTTAAAGTCTTCAATGAATAAAAAATACTCCTAAAAATTTATTAAGTCTTCTAGAGGCATCCCTCAAAATCTTTTAGACTCAGATTATTTGAGAAATCGACATTATCGATTACAGCTTGAAAATCATTTTCCTTTTCATTTGCATCCGCATCAGCGTCAGGTTCTCTATAAGGAAAGATGTAAGGCGAGTCGACACCTTCCCGGCAGCTGTTTAAATACCTTTCGCGTGATAGCGATAAAAGAAATTAATAAACTTTATATCAAAAATTTTATAATTTTGCGGCATTTAAGTGTCTAACTACTTTAGATAAACAAAAATTAGTTGGAAACGTGCCAATTATCGAATTATGTTCTATATAAAGTCAAGTGATTTGCGATATTTAGTAAGATAATTAGAACCGGTATTCATATAAAGGACGGGGGTGCAAAATATTTAAATCTTCACGAGCACAAAAAAATATAAACCTGAGAGCTTCTTTAATCACAGATATATCCTGAACGATGAAAGTGTGCGACTTTTTGCTCAAAAATCTAAATTTAATGTTGATAAGAAAACATGCTAGTACTTTGCAAGATTTTACATTATTCAGCTACAAGAAATCGTAAATGTATATAAAGCTCTTTAGTGAGAACAAATATAGTTAATAAAAAAACCGTTACAAAAACCGGCAAAAGCCGAAACAGACTGATAGTAAAGAGTTTATTCTATCGTGCTATTGGTTAGTTGATAAAATAACCTCTAGGAGGGATACCTTGCATGTTTTATAGACCCAGGAAGATAAGTAAAATCTATAGGCAATAGATCATCTCCTTCTTTTGTTAACTTTGGAGTAACACTATCAAGGCCTTTGAGCAGGAAAAAGAGATTACTAAACCTTCATTTACAATTAAGTTTTGAAAAAAACCAATCCTCAATTTTTATAAAGTTAATAATCAATATAAAATAATTTATAAAAGTCACAAATTAATACCAATACTTAATGCATGTATGGTTTACTTTAAATAAAAAATAAGTATTTTATTAAAAATATATAATTGGCGCTAGCAGAATTTATAAAGAGGACGGAAAGAAGCCCTAGAGAACACAGAATTATGTGGTTAACTGAAGGGTTAAAAGGTTTCATATGCAGCTTCCGAGGCTTTTAAGCCGAAACACCAGAATTGTTGGGCCAGAAATTGGCTGCCTGGGATACCATATAACAACCAAGAAACTATACCAAACCGAATATCATAAAACTGCCCAATTAAACTTTGTCAGAAAGGTGTTATGGTTTTACTGCTAAAAGAAAAATAGTATTTTTTATTAAAAAAAATAATGGTTTAGAAGTGAACTGGCCGGTCTATGATGACATCAATTCGAATTATTCCATACACATTTTATTATAACTTGTTTGTTACCGGCAGTTGCTAAAATTGGTTGTATTTGTTCACACATTCCTAGTTTAGTTGAAGTAAATCACCCCACACATTGGGACATAGAAAACGCATGGTCACTCTAGAAATAGGCAAACATTGTGGTAGAAATAAAGAAAACCAGAGTAAGTAAAGCACAGAAGACACTCTCTTATGTGGATATATAAATATAATTATATATTTTTTTGAACCGTCCAAACACTCACTTGTTTATTGCTTATAGATACATACAAAATATACATTGTTAACAATAACTGTCCAACCTCGAAAAATCTAGACAAAACAGTGCAAGTGAAGATAAAAAAACCTAGTAATAGAAAAAAAATGATAAAAGGTCGCTAAAATATAACGCGGGCTATCACACATAGAAGACCCTAAAGTAAAAAGCTTTGAACCATTAATAGCCCCATGTGTCAAAAATCATTGAGTGTATAAAGCGTACTCCATATAAAACAAAAAAATAGCTACGAGGACCTCGTATAGATTTGGGGCCGTCTTTCATTAGGTATTTTATAGTTTCATATCTATATATTAAGTTCAACACTTATAGCAGTTAAAAAGTATAGCCCTCTACTAACCCAGTGGCTGCTATGATGGCGATAGGCGGCAGAGAAATTTTATCGTTGCTACATTTATGCAAAAAAAAAAAAGATTACAAAGTTTCATTACTTTTAACAACACCGGAAGTCTGTACCCTTCATGGAGCTCTTTGAGAAATTGTAAACCATCGGCGAGTGCAAGCTTTAAAAAATTCTTGACCTCGCAAGGAAGACACAGCATGGGAAACTTAGCAATGACAGGATATTTACCCAATAATTCTCATAATCCAATGTTCCCGCCACCGTTTCCGGGTGGTCGGGATGAAAAAGCCCCCATTTTTCCTTTACCCACGTTTCCGGATTATAGTAATCGAAATGACTGTGGCCAAAGGGCAGAAATAATAACCAAAATGCAGAAGAATCGAAACGTGTGGTACAGCATCTGCCCGTTAACGTCAATAATGCCTCGTCCGCTTAGAGGATAACTACAATAGGAGCAGAGCCAGGAAAAATGTGTTCTAGCGGACAACAACTTCTTGTTTAAACCCATTGGATGTCCATCACGATGTTTAAGCAAAAAAAGGGGAGACTCTACAAAACATAAAAGTAAGAAGGGCTAATTAAGGCGAGCACACAGAAAAAGAACCCAAATTAAAAGGAGGGGCCAGAAAAAGAGCGCTGTGCACGAGCTCCGGTCGCCTTTTCATAACGACGAAGCCAACCATGCTCCCCATCGAGTGGCAAACGAGCTGACGTAGAAAAGTAAAGCATCTGCATAGCAAAAAGGATAGAAAAGAAAAACCTGTACGGGCCGGCGCGTCTCATGGGCGATTTGCTCGATGAAGGCCTCCAACTTTAGAGAAGTTTCGTTATTGCTACGACGCCAGTCATACGAAAATTCATGCACCCTAAAACCCTTTTTCCTCTACTTGGTATATAATAACTAACAATACGAGAAAAAGTATACCGAATACTACCAGATACTTTATTCCAGGTGAATATATGGGCACTTTCAAACCACCCACTATGTTAATATGATGGAAGACACCTCCAGGAACTAAATTATCTATTATCATTTAAGTTAGTAACAGAGAAACCAAAACATCATGAGGCATTGCTTTCTATAATAGACCTTTTAACTGAAAGCCAAACTGGTCAAACTCTAGAGGCAAACGGATCGAAGGATACTCAGAATTGTGTATTAAATGCTTGCCGTCCACCCAAGCCTAAGTTTAAAAAAGTTAGTGGCAAGTTGACTTGCTTTCTACCTAAAGTACATACTTTAAAGTTGTTGTTACAAGGATCGAGTAGGATAGAGGCTTTGACTCCTGGAACAAAAACTACATGTGACCTTTCCTTCTGGTCCTGGATCCTTTTTTTAGTAATTTTCTCAAAGGGTTTGAAGGGCCTCTTTTTATTATATAATGAAGATAGAGATCGGTAAAAAGTTGATTCTGGGAGGTCTTCAGGTTTGCTGTTGTCCCCGTCACTCAAAGTTTCGGGTGATTGTTCAGAAAGCTCAGTATTCCGATGGTTTAATGTATCATTAAAACTAGGATTCTCATCCAATTCCTCCACCAAGGCTGTGGTTTTCTTATATTTTCTATGGTTCTTATTACCGAAGGAGTTAAGCTTGGAAGCCAAAGAAAGAGCTTTTCTAGTTTTAAGGTTTAAAGCATTAATTGAAGGTGCTAAAAAACTTAGGAGTTCCGAAGGTTTTGAAAAAAATTGAAAAGAGGGCCTTTGATGAGAATCTTTATAGCAATTATCTGAAGGGGAAGAATTAACCCTTCGTGTTTGAACAGAATCAACCCCTGAGCTTGAGGATCTGTCTTATAAAGAAATTTAAACTGGAACAGGAAATGTGAAGAATAGGTGTAGGTTAACTTAGTTCCAAAGACAAACATTTACCTGCCAACTCATTTTCATTAAGGGGTTTAACTTCGTCTTCACTGTCAGCTTCATAAGTTAAACCGGAAACCCTGATTAGATGGTCTTCAAAAAATTTTAAAAGGGTTTCGTTGGAACAAACCAAATCTGAAATCACTTGAGACATATAAAGTTGTTTTTCTATAGATACCTGTAAAATATTCACACATTGATGTAGGTCTTTTGTGTCTATTGGGACTTCTGTGGTCTTAAAGTTAGAAAGGTGGCTTAGTAAAGAACTATCTTTGTCCTTAATAGTGTTTACTAAATTTTTTTGGTGAGATTTCCCTTTTAACTTTTCCGAATTTGTAAATTTTAAAGTTTTATCTGACAATTTACTAAAGTGGTCATCTTGTTCTTTATTATTTAAGTTATGATGAATATTGCAGTGGAATACATGTTCGTGACCATTATCCTTTTTTAAAGAAGGTATAATACCCATCTTTTTATTTACGTTTGAATCACGGTTACTATGAACAAAGGTTTTAAAGTCACTAATTGAGGCTGAACGTTTAAAATGTGGTTTTAAACGTAATTTATCTTCAATGTTCTTAAGTCTTTCATTAATAGAATATATGTTAACAGATATAACTTTAAGTAATTCAAAAAAGTCAGGTAAACTTTCAGCTTCAAATAATTTTTCAAAATTAATAACGTCATTATCCTTAAATAAGTTTTCACCTCCTAAGAAATAGTGTTCCTCAAAAGCTTTGTTCTTCATAATATAATAACTATATATTAAAAAACTTCAATTAAGCCAAAATTAGCTTATTTTTAAAAAAACTTCTGTATTAATCCAAATGCGTGGTTATTAACCCTCTAGTGGGCGCGCTTAATCCAATCTTTATCCTTTAAATGGTGGAAACATTTAACAGTTCATAAAACCATTACTTCACCCATTAACTGCCAAATGTAAAATCATCTAAAGTTTTGTTAAAGATCACTTTCATTTAGTTTTCAAGGGGTTAAAAGATAATTTCTTATAGATAAAACAAGGTAACTAATTAAGTAATTTAGGGGTAGGACAAGATTTCTAAAACTGATTTTCGTTTTACCATAAAATTTATAGCTAAAAGTTGCATAGGTTGCCTTTCTTATATAAACAATCTCTTAAATTATTCATTTGAAATTTGTGCTCATAAGTTTAATTATGTAAATTTACGGGAGCAATTTTTAACCTGTCTTAATAAACAGTCTTTATTAATATAGTTGCAATAGCTAAAAATTTTATAATTTACTTACCAAATTTTCATCACCGTCATTAATCAAAAAATATTATTGTAATGTAATGGGTTTACATCAAGCCAATGTTGTTATAGAACTTAGCTTTGACCTTGATTTTAGTCTACAAAGATTTAAGCTAAAGCAGTTGAACGTTTACAAGAATGTCTAATAGATATTGTTAGCTTGGCATAGAAATATTAACAAATTTATAAATTTTATTTGAGTCCTTTGAGCATTGCGTCTATCTCCGCTTACTGCGGTTTTATTTACGCCTCGCGTCATTAATAGGCGAGAGATACACTATTATATAATTTCGCAGATTCTTGGTATAATCGACCATAGGCTGGATCCAAAGGGTATTTAACTCTCGAAAATCCTTTATTAATAAAATAAGGGAAGTGGGATATAAAATTACCATTTGGGAAGAGGCCACGGTAACTAATCAGTCTTAATGAGAAGATGTTAAATATCGCCTTGAGCTTGGGCGTCAATTTTTTTAAATGTAGGGACTTTCAGCCGAGCGCTTGGGGTGGGTGTAAAAGTTTAAATACGTAAAACCATCATACTGGGGCCGAAAGCTGTCGTCGAGGCTCAGCAGGCGGTTATGAGCATTGGAAGCGCAAACTCAACCGCGGGTAATTTTTACCGAGGCGAACTCTTTCCCTGTCTTTAGTGGTTGCATATTAAACTCGTTCTCTTAAATTCTTATACAAGACAAGTGATGACAGCCGACCACAGAGAGGATAAACAGAACTCGAACTTTTATTTAGCTAACCAAATTCATATACATGTGAGTGATGTAAAAAATAATTAAGCGGGCTAAGCATGAGGGTAAAGGACTTTATAGCGGGGTCTAGTAGAGGGATTCCATTATCTCCCTTCCATATCTCCTCTCTTTAATCAGTTCAAAGTTGCTTTAGAGCTTTATTATTATATATTAAAACAAGTTACATCTAAATATTTAAAATTATAATAAAGTGTATACATAAAAGTTTCCTTTTTCAGTGAAAATTAAACCTGCTAGATGATAATCGAATTTAAGGCTTGATGGAGAAAAGGGAAGATAGGAGAAACGCTCCAATAATTAACTGGTACAGGAATTATTAAATACTTTCAGGTAAATTAAAAGAGCCAGTCAAAAATATGGGTCTGGAAATTGTGTATAAGGGCAGGTTACTATAGCACGTAAAGAGTCACCACAACATAACATACTTCTACCTCTAACCAACTTATATCTGACTAAAGTCAGTTCCAAGCACGATATTGTATAAAGCTTATTTTGACTATTTCTTAATTAAAAGTAACAAGATTTTCGCTCCGGATTGGCCGTCGACGTTTAGGTAGAAACAACTTGTCCTTCAACACATCAAAAAATCAAAAATTGTTAAACCATCACAAAACTTCTACGAAACGATAAAGCGATATACTTACACACATGCGCTAAAAGAACAGGAACACCGAGTGTAAAAATAACAACCATTCCCATCTTTTACTTTATGAAACCGTAACGTAAACATTGTTATATAGCTAAAATCAGATTGGGGGATGCTAGGTACAGTTTTCAGAATGTGTTGATTTTGCAAGCCAAAAATCCTCGAGAACTCAAATATTAAAATTAAGTAATATAGTATAGTTATAGCATATATTATAGACTGTAAACCGATATAATATAGATTGATCGGCATACTTGAAGTACTCTAGTAATTTATTTTATAATTTTGGGCAACCTCAGTGCTCCATGGTAGCAGTCGGTGCTTGAGATGCATTTACATACGCACGTGCAAAGTAACCTTAGGGTTTTATATACTCATTATACAAAATGCAAGCTTACCGTTCCCAAAGATTATATAAGCGCATCTGGCAAAGAACACATCCTTTTAGAAGTCAAATCATCTGGGGGGTGTTTATTACTGTAGTGGGAACGGCAAGGCTACCTTGAGCGGAGAAGAAAGTTTATGATAATTTTGATGTTTTCAGAATCAAATAAACAGTTAACTCTTTTAATCAAAAAGTTCTAAGTCAATGCTACCGGTGCAACTTTGCTGTCACAAGCCAAGGTTCATAAAGAGGATTTTTTCATATAAAGGTCGCCGAACCAAAATGTACCGTGTGTTTGTGCTAATTGCAATGAAGATTAACAATAATAATATAAAGCGAATTACATAATGTTCTACCACAGGCGGATGTGGTCAAAAGGCTTACCCTAGTTAAGACAGTTTAGCTTATAATAAAAATCCACTAAAAACAGCCTACCATTGACTAAATGGTTACATCCTACATTTCAACTACCGCCCTCATATTAGCAGATCATAAAGAAGACATGGATCCGCAAGGAAAGTTATGGTCACGGTGAGCAGAGACGAGAGGATGTGCCTTAATTTTTAATAAAATAACAAATACCACCCATTCTGTGACGGTCTTTTCGATAAATCGTATAGTTTGAAGAATACCACTACTACTCTTAGAGGAATCGGAGATCAGAGCTTGGGCGATAACTATTTTTTCAATTAAATCTTATAATTCTTTTCTAATCTCAACCTCTCTTATAAATCCAAAAAAGTATGAAAAATTGCATTCTTTCTCGTTGCTTAAGCATCTCCCGGCATGTTAACTGTATTATTCAATCTTTGTCTTACCTTTTGTGCGGGGGATGTGCGTAGGCAGCCATTAATGGGGTTTGATCACAGTGATGTAGGTATTTATGACATCATTTATAAGTCCATTGTAAGCAACTGTGCAGGTTGGTCTCGTAGTGGTGCGCTATGCAGCATGTGTTGCAATTGATCGTGTTAGCTCACTAGCTGGTTTTGCTAAAGTAAACGAGAAAAAACTTTTTGCTCTTAATTTTTTACCTTTAATTGAAACTTTGTTAACCTAACAATCATAATGCGAACTTTTTAGATCCCATGGTCCAAGCTTGGAAATAGCTAACTTTTAATAACTAATACTCTTATCTAAGTCAGTAGGTATTTGTGCACCTTCAACCGTTAGCTGAGGGTTTTGTATTGTGTTACTATATTGTTTTAAGTACGGAGAACGATTCTGCCTTCAGAAACTTTTCTTTATAGGTGATATAAGCAACCTGTATAATTAGGTGGTTGACCCTTGCAGTTACTCATTATGGTTTACCGTCTTTTTTATCAAGGGCCTTTAAATCGGATTACATCCATAGAACTGGCAGAAATATATTTCCGATTCTACCATTCCTCTTAAAAGGTTTAAATAAGATGGAAATAATGCAATCTTTACAACATTAGTAATATTTAATTTTATTTGATTACTTTAACTAAAGTTGTAGGTAGGTTGGTTCCCTTTTTAACACGTCGACTAAAAAGTCCGATACTAACAAATATTTTTTTTTTTGGAAAATACAACCTTATAACTCAACATAGTGTCCTTCAAGAGAAACAAAAACAGTTCAACGCTTTTCCAGCATTTCTACACTTTTATAGAACGTTTTGTCTTTGCCATCAAAATAGTCTCTGTCTCGGTGGTGACTTCTTGGTTTGACCCAAATCTCTTCCCCGAATCATTTTTTCGAGGTCTGCAAAGAGATAAGAGTCACTGGTGGACAGACCTGGAGAGTAAGGTGCGGAACCAAAGAAAACTTCCGTTCATGCGCCATCGTAACCACAGTTTTGTGACACGATGCAATGTCTTAAATGGAAGAGCCCTTTTTTGGGCCATTTAAGCCATTTCTTTGTAATTTCCTCATTCAGCCGGGTCTATAACATTATATACTATTCACTAAGGATGGTTTTTTCTCTTTCAAGATAGTCAGTGGATAATATACTATACGCATCTCACAATCCGGGGGCCATATCCTTTCCCCCAGATCGTTATTTTTGGACGCTTTGGGCTGCTTTCACCCTTTGTTTTCCACTCAGCGGACTGCCGATTGGAATTTGAATGACTTTCATTCATTGTTACATATCATACAAAAAAATCCTTTTCATTTCGTTAAAACACCTCCAAAGAACTTCCTAATCATCAAGACGTTGTTGTTTTTGATCTACAGTGTAAACGCGGTACCCGTTTCGACCAAGGTTTTTTCATGCCCAAATGTTCGTGCGAAAATGTAGCTTACTCGTGCCTTTAATATCTTTGCGATGTCATGCAACTTCACTTTCCGATCATCTACGACAATTTTAAAGATATTACTGTTGCTTCCTGAACTAAGTTCCTCATGTAGGCGTCCAGAGCGTTTAGCGCCATTTGTGTTCCGTAACGCTCTGTTTAAAAAACTCATTGAACCACCGACAAATCGTTGTTTTAGACGGAGCAACTTCCTTATAATATACCATGCCATTGCTGAGCTAGAACGGTATTTCTTTTCACGAGAAACAATGCCTAATCAACACACGAAATACGCATTTTGGTCACTGCATACACGACTTTTATGTAAACCACCCTGTAAAATGCTTTTTGTATAAACTAAGAAATTCAGTAAGAAATCTTTGTTGTTGAAGTCCTTGGTATATTAGCTATTGTTAACTTAAAAATAGTTGAGCAATAAAAATTAAATCTTTTTTATCCTCGAAAGAGAATTTTTTAAATTGTACCCTCTATAGCGGGCTTCATTGCTTTAATGCAGAACTAAACTGGTACAGAAAAGCAAATAATGGTGGGATTTGCTTTTTCCACCCAAGTCATACAATGCATCTTGTACACGAATTGAACTTTGTTGGAAAAACCTATTTCACTTAAATTCCTAACCCGGGGGATTAGTAATGTTTGAGAATGAGGCACAATTTTTCGGTTTTACACCTCCTTCACTTGCTGACAGCTTAATTCTTGCTGTTAACAATATATTTTTTGAGGTTATTAGAAGTTTATATAAAACTTTGAAAAAGAAGGGCTATCCTCCAGAAAAACTAACTAGAGTATAATTTATACAACTATATTAATAAGTTATATATAAACTTGTACTCTTTGCAGGAGCTTAACAAAGTTTTAGCTATACTTCAGGAATCAGTCTATGATAAGTTTGACTTCATTGAAATATACTGTTCTTGCAGTATTTTTAATATCCCCAATTTCGTCGATATACCTTTTGACGAGGTACTTACATAGTTTCGCTAATATATCTTCACTTTTAATAATTTTTTAGCATGTAGAAGTGTGCGATTTTGAAGAAGCAGCTTTAAAACTAGATGAGAATACTCTTGCCTTGGAAGGCCGGATGCAAGTTATTTTTAAAGTAGTTACTATTATATAATATTTCCCTCTATAACTTTATTATTTTATTATACAGACTAATATTCAACTTCAAAAGATCGCCAACTCTCTTTATCTTCAACTTAAAGGTCTTCAAGATTTAGAAGTGGTGGTAGATGACTTATATATCGAATGCAGCTTTGACTCTGGTAGTAGCTTCAGTCTTAGACTTATCTTATATATCTCTAGCTTGTTTTACTCTCATACGTATATATTATATAATAGCAATTTTTATTATAAGCGACTCTCAACTTTTTCTTCTTTTTAATAGTTCTTGCTCTGCAGGTTCTAATATTTCTGAAGAAGTGGCATATGCTTGGGATAATATCTTTTTGTTAGCTAATAAAGTAGTAGAGTTGTTTGACAAGGTCAACCTTTATCTCCACACCTAGAGGATTGTTAAAGAGGCTTTTCCCCAAACTTAATATAAGAGAACTTGTACTACTTTAGAAGAATACTTAGCAGAATGGAACGCCAAAAATTAAAGACCTAAAGAAAGAAGCGCTACACTTTTCAGATTTATCTTTAAAGTTAGAAAATCTTTCTAAACACAAGTTATTAATAAAAAACATTGTTCTCTTTTCAGTTGAAAAAAAAATTATTTGGTTTCTTCGCACATTCTATTAGTTTTTTTTATGTAGTAAGTTCGTTTAACTCAAAGCGGGCCTATAATCCCTCCTGCCTTCCGTCAACTGTAGAGTTAGCTTGAACAACGTTATTATAAACAACCGACTGCGCGCTTAAAGACAGTCTCTTGGCTGTTTTCGTTTAAAAAAAAGTAATTAAGAGCGGCAAGGTATTCTTTAAAATTTTATGTTTGTCTGGCCATTTATCTTATTAATAAATAATACCGGATACGTATTTTTGTTTAACACTTGCCTAACTAATATATATTTTTTACAAATATTCACCCTTGTGCAGATTAAGTAAATTTTAGATACCACAATACTTGTTAACCGAAACAGTCCTAAAACATACAATTTTTTAAGCGGTTTAAACGTCGTTTATTTGTTATAACATATAACTACTAACTAGCAAGAAGACAAGAGATTTAAAGATGACTCTCCAGGTTGGACATCCGACGACCAATAAGCGGAGGAAGGACATTTTTGCCTGTTCTGTAGTTTTTTGTATTGAATAAAGGTTAAAAATGTTTTATTCGAACTTTTATTTCTGTAGTATTCGTCAGCCCAGCAACTCTTTTTTTTTGTATATCTTACTTATTTATAGTTCAAAACTTTCATGCTAAACTAAAGTAGCTTATAAATATTCTACCATTATAAAGCGTTTAAAAGGGAAGGCTTCCACATAATTTGTTTCAAGATTGTGTATAACTTAAAGGCAGCGAATTTCTTGTGTTTTAAGCGTTCACCCTTTTTTCCCTTGAAGTGCGACTAAGTTACTGGGAACTCTAAAGCCGTTATTTATATGCAAATCTTTAGACGAAACAATTTTGCTGAAAAAAACTGGGAACAAATTAAAGCAACCTAGCCAATAGTATATAGATATGGTCATATGGCCTGAAAAATTTCATATATGTTTGTTTAAAGTTGTGCAAGAGTAGTTCAACCTCTTATTTACGGAGAAAAATAAAGGTGGTTCGTTAAAAACAAAGTGCGCTAGGAAACGTTTTAAGATGTTCTGGGGTAGTTATAGTTTTTTACATATGCAAAGCATAAGAGCAGGGTTATATTACAGATGCGTAATTTAAATTGGACTTAGTTACGGCTTTGTAGAAAGGTAGTACTTTTTGACTTAGCTTCTTATGTGGCCGAACGTAAGATTTAAGTGGTATATTGAATTCTTAACAGAATACCCAACGATTCAATAGCCGTTCCTGTGATGGTAAGTTATATTAGAATATAGGTGGGTGAAGTCAAATTTATCTATTTATTTACAGCGCTGATTTACTACAAACTTGATTTATTTGTAACTGTTTTGCTTAGTACTTTCCATCTATTAATGAGGATGCTGAAGCCATAATGTCCCTAACTACCCATTTCGCCATTAACGTTGCTTATTCATCCCAGCTTAATAGTATATAACAAAAAGAATTACAGGCAATAGAATAGTTAAGTTTTAATACCGCTATATTATTGAAGATTGTATATTAAGAAGTTTATAAAATGAACTCTAAGCCTAGTCACATCCTTCCTCTAAATAGATTTAAGGAATATTCCGGCTGCGAGCACTTGGTGTATTAAGAAAAGAGTAGGAATGAAAAGCCTATTTAATTAGTGTGTTGTGGTGACTACTCTAGTAAGCCATTTCCGTAAGATTCTATAAAAAAAATATTTTTAAAGGCTCGAAATGACACTCCATGTAGTTGGCTGTTGCTCACAAACAAAGAGGAGTTCCCATTATCAGAACGCGATTTTGTAGTATTTGTAAACGATGTTTGCTCGAGGAATAGGCCCAGTGGAATAGATGCACAGATCATCAGCGGGCGTATAACCGATTTGTATAACGAAAGCAGGTTTTCTAAATACAAATTGCTTCTCCTGAATAGTAAGGGTCTAAAACGGCCAGAGTTTGTTGTTAAGTATGACCCCGAGAGCTTTAACCTTTCCTTCTCTGGGGAATAAGAGTTTGGTTTAGTGAGAGACTAGAGGTAGGGAAAAGTAAGTCTCCTTGTCTAATATTAAAACTACTTTTCAACGCAGTGGTTATTAACCAAAAACCGTGCCTAATGTACTGTCAAAAAAGACTATATGTTTTCAACATCGGCCAGGCGGATTTTAAACTCTAATAAAAGGCCGTATTAACAGCGTACTGTGCTGTTTATTTTTGACGGTTGTGGCATATCGGACATGTAGATAGAAAAAAGTAAAGGGGACCGTAAGGCGACTTGGGAGATGCCCATCTTGAATTGCTTGATAGCGGGCTTCAGCGAACTTACTCTAGCTGTGCAGGTTCTCTCCGTTAGTTATTAGTGTACCACCGCAGTTAAGTATAGAAAAGCTAGCAGTAATCATTGAAAAACTAATTCTCGTGCCATATTTCATCAAAAGCCTTCTTAATATCTAAAAGACCAGAACTGTTACTTTTCTATTGTAGAAAACTTTTGTAGCTTCTTCCAAGCCTAATGAATTTTGGAGTAAATTATTGGAACCAACTTTGGCAAGGCGCACGTACTACCACAAATATTTGTAAGCTTGAAAATAACCGCTTAAGCCACCTTCCCTAGGCAGGACAATAAGCTTATTGGACGATAATTTTTTATAAACCGGCAAGGGGGCCTAGCGTTAGGGATAAAAATTACTTTTGCTAATTTCTACCGTTTAAAAATTAGCAGTGGTAAGTATTTTATGAAATTAGAGAGATAGCCCGTGGAGAAAAGTTTATAACTATTAAACCAAGGCTTTACTTGCAGGCAGAGTTATATACGCACCTGTTTACGAGAAATGAACCCCAACTCCCGCGAATTATTGCTCTAAACCGCCGAGCTATGAGGACTTGTCTTAATATGAATATTAACCTTGCCACATAAATTTTATTATAATTATATAATAGCGCAAGAGCTACTTTAACCCTGGAGTCTTAACCGCTCACTAAGGAAGTTTATTTCCAAAGTAAAGATCTAAATATTTTTGATATAAGGGCTTTAATATTACCCCACATTCTTTCTCTTATGATAAGCAGTTTATTAAACTAACCAGTTTAGAGTACGTTAAATATGTGAGTGTCATCTGTGTATAGTGTTAAGGAAACCTGGTTAGTAGAGAAAGGATATATTTCCGAAATTTCGTGGCAATGAGGTAAACTTGGCGATAAATAGCTTTTCGGTTCCCCGTCACATCCCCTGAGGCTGAGGCGCTGCAACTTTTTGACCTCGACACAACACTTGCTAATTGGTGTAAACACTGAAGCACCATCTCTAACTCAGCTGCAAGCACTGCGCTACCAACGCCTTTGACCTCCTACGTCAAGAAAACACCGTGGTACTTTCGGGGGATATATAACTAGCACTCATCATTGATGTCAAGGCGCTGCACGTAAATTACAAGGTGGTGAAGGTTAAAGCGGCGACCTTGGCGTTATTACTTTAATTGGTGCAGTAAAATCTATCTTTCCTTGTGTAACAAGCAGAAGATTATATAAATTTGGGCATTCTGCCGATCGTGACATACGACTTTGCCTTCTTGGTCTACAGTTAGTTGGCCATAGCGTAAAACGACGTGTGCTAAATGGCTACTAGAATACGACAAGACACGAAATTTAATCCGCGGAAGGGCAATAGCCATGTACTTTAAGTCTAAAAAAATTGAGGTGATTTTTAACTTTTATATCTATATGAAACGTACTACAAGAGAAGTAGCTAAAAGTCTCATGCGGAAAATTTCAATGGCTAATTTTTTTTTATTTTAAAAGTTAACAACTGAGTAATGCTTTTGCTCTTCATTATTTAAATTGGCCGTTTGTCGTCCAGAAATGGTTCAACAGACTCCATGGGTCCTTTCCGCTCTGAATCGGTGTCCGATATCACCTGCTCAGAATAGTTTGCTTTTCTTATGTTTTATCGAACAAAAGTTAATAAAAACTAATGAAAAAGTTTTTTTCCTAGCAACTAAATTAAACCTCGCTGCAATGAAATACTGTCAAAGTATAATTATATAGAAATGGATTCAATAATTAGGACTGAGTGAAACGGTTCTTTTTACCGTTATATTAACGAACGAAACATTATAACTTATAATTAATAGTTTCAGAGTATAAGTAGTGGTCTATAAGTATATTAATAATAACCTTTAACAATGGCTTTAGAAATCAACTGCCAGAAGTGGTGCGCTTTCTCGTCAGTATATGCTGTTGACGTTGGGGTTGGTCCCATCACTTTTGAGTAAGGAGTAGAATGGGTAATTAATATGTATATTTGGTTTTATTACATTTTGTTTCTTCCTCAAGAGAGCTAATAGCATTCTTCACGTCTTTAATAAGCATATCGCACATGTGGCGTGTCATATTTTGCTTGACCACTACTCTACTAACTATAAATTCTTTGGATTCTTTTTAACAAAAGAAGTTATGGTGTTAGTGCTCTGAAACTATGAGATAAATAATAAATCCATACACACAATTTAATTTAAATTTGTCTTATCTAGAAGCCTAAGAAAGGTGCATGTACCAATAGGACAACGATATGCTGGGACGATCCAACCACACGCCTTTAGTCTATCTTGCACATCAAAGAGACTATATTTGGCATGGTTGTCCTTCAGGGAAAAGGCCACTAAAGGCATATGTGCTTTATCAACAATATCAAAAAGGCCCATTTCTCGCAACCCTTTATAATAATAATAATTATTAATTGTATAAGAAAACCTTTCAACTGATTTAAAATCAAGACCATCTCTTAGATACTCAGCGTTTTTCATTCCTGTTTCTAAAATGCTGCGATAACCACTTTTTCCGAGACGAATCTGTATTATTTTCATACTTTAGTAAACTGAAATCTATTAGAGGGTTATTAACTACGTGCCAGCTGGTAATATTGGGCTACTATTTGGCCGGCGGGTTTAGAAAAGTTGAAAGTAAACGTGGCCTACAAGTAGTAATTAGTCTAAAAAAAGTTTAAAGTTTACATCAGGAAGAGTAGGCACCTGATCTCCTCCAAGATAGTTTACATGGAAAATTAAGTCGTCAGGAAGATCTTTTCTTTCTCTCCATAAAGCCCATCCAACGCCTCAAAAGAGAAAAGTTACTAGCTGTTTTAAAAAAAAATATTAAAGAGTACCCGGATAGACAAGCCCAAATTTATGACCGCTAGTATTGATCGATTTTACTAGAGGAAGGCGGAAGTCCCACACCTAGAGTCAGAATAGATGTTTTCTTACTATACTATATTTACACTTTAATTGCAGTGAGTCCCTCTTTTACAAACTGTTATCTCCTTCTGAGTATACCTTTCTTTTAACTATTAAAAGCAATAAACAATATATTTATAGCAAGGAAGTTTCCACTAAAGTAACCGCGACAAATACGTTCTCTTTATCAGCATTAGTAGCTGCAAAGTATTTTAAATCTTTTTAACTGAGCAGGCGAATCATAAAGATGAATAACGCAAACTCGCCAAGCTGGAAAGAACTCACATATTGTATCTACTTGCAAGAAAGCGGGTAAACACAAGCTACCTTATTTTTAGCTTACTTAACTTGTCTATTAGGTATACTCAAGGTTAACAAACCAGATCAGGATTTAAAAAAGGAGCAATAAAGCCACCACTTGCAGCGTCAACGTGAATTGGAATTTCTAAGTTATGTTCTTTATTGTACTCTTCTAACATTTCGTGAATTCCTTTAACATCTTTTTTATAATATATATATATAAGTATTTAAAGTTAGTTGATTATATCGTTAAGATTCACCTTCAAACTCCCCATTGTAGGTTGAACCAAGTATAATGCAAATCCCTATAGTGTTTTCATCTAAAAGGGGTTTCGCTCGTTCGGGAGTTAAGACTAAGCAGTCTGTAGACATTGGTGATTCTCGACGCTCAACATCAAAGTACATGCAAAATTTATGCCAGCACACTGTATAGAGTTTATCTAATTTCGAAATCATAGTACTTATAGAGTTGAATAAAACCTTGTACGTTAGACCCCCTTATTGGATTTAGTTAAAATATTAGCAACTTACTACTTATATAAAATGTTGGCACTTACATGACTAGATTGGGTTTATCGTATGATAATCCGGCTTTACGTCGGCGTTCTCGCCACTAGCGCAACGTTAAAAATAAATATTTTATAATTGTGACGAAAGGGTTGTTACCTTCCACTTTAAGGCCAATCCTATATGCGCATAGAATTAAAATATACATTTTGTGACGTTTAAAACCATCTTAATACAATTACTATAAAGTTTACCAGCTAACATAATGGCTTCAGAAGAACCAATACAACTTGTTCCAGTTGCCTCTTCTTTTGCTGAGAGAGGGGCATTAAATAATCTTGCAATCATGTTTACACATCGCATTTGCATTGAGTAAGTAATAGCATACTGTTAAATTTTTTTAAATTATAATTTGATTTTAACACAATTATAACCTAACATATACTAACCTCGTCAAGATCTATAAAATTTTTTCGAGAGCCTTTAAGTATAAGATCCTCTCCGTATTCATCCATATAGCTAATATTATAATCATCAATTAACATTATATGAATCAAGAAGATATTTTTACTTTATTATATAACTTGCATAAATAATTATTGATAATAAGTATTATACGTGCAAACAAAGCTTGCCATATTCAGCATTGGATTCCCATCTAAGTTCATTTCATCGATAATGACTTGATGAGCTATGCTAATACAAAATTTGTTACTTCTTCAAATCCTTAAAATTTAAAGTAAAGAAATATATAAAAACTTTTAATATATATATTTTAAGATATGTCGTTTTACTAAGTTTACTATCACTAACCGAGGGGCCATGCTATCTTCAGGAATTTCATAATATGGAATTGATGCACTCATTATCTTGTTCGCATAAACTGGAACTTTAGTTCTATGTGCTTGATCGTTCATTTTGATAGTATATGGTCTTCTATGTAGTTAGAATGTTAAAAAATAAATATCAGTAGCGTTAAAAAAACTTAAATTTTTTTTTTGCTATAAACTAGTATATATAAAATTGTAGGTAAAAATTATAACGCTTCTAAACTAACAAATTTAAAAAATTTAATTTGAAAATATTGCTACACGCACGTGCCCTAAAACCCCCAGAAATGGACAGAAATAGTTATTGATAATATATAATATAGTGATAAGGATAAGATATTACCTACATTTATATTATTATTCGTAAGTACTTCAGAAGCTTTATAGGTTTTATGTAAAATAAAAAAAATTTTTTTAATAGTTTAGCTTAAGGATATATAATCTTAATATGGACAACATTTTCAAATCCTAATTCGCTTATTTAAATTGTAAAATTTTATTTTAATCAATTTATAGTTTCCGCATTTAACACAATTTTGTTCAATATGGAAGATTTTAGTAATATAAATGAGAAATAAAGTAGGGTTGTCTTTATTTTGGTTTATATCGCTTATATATAGAATTTTATATGATAATTTTGGTAAATCGAAAATATTCTGGAATATTATTAGTTTAAAGTATTTTTTCAGGTTTCGGTAGTCTTTAGCCTATTAAATTCTACTTCCAAACAGAACCACCTTATCATAAAAGGCGGCGAAGGCGAATTTCTATTTAATTAACAACAAATTTTGATTTTTGAGAAATAAGGCTTATATATAAATTTATTATCGGTGATTTTGCCTATTCTACATAGTTAGCTAACGTTAACGCTAATGAGCCAGTTATATAAGTTTAAAGAGTGTAAGTCAGCTTGCGATTGATTGATGGCGGTCATAGTAAAACTATCTCATTGCATATATTTTAACTAATAACATTTTAAGTAGGTGGTGTATTAGCTAATATTAACAAAATAAACATATCTTTTTAGTGGTATTAAACGCTTAACATGCATAGATGCACTTTAACAGGCTAAATACTTAAAACCCTCATAGCGGGATCTAGTGTTGTCGGCAAGTCAGCGGTTAAGAGCATTGACGCACATGACAACGTTCTTTTTCGGCCTTTAAGGGTCGCGTGTTTAACCTCGCCTTTCATATATTCTAATATACTTAAATAACATTTTAACTTCTTTCAACTAGTATTAACTGGATGCACTTTATAACAACAAAATAATAAATAATGAAATTAATTAACTTGTATAAATAAATAAAATTTATCGAATAAAACTATAAAATTTTAAATATAATCATAGGAAAACATGACACTAATTGTTTAAAAATAACCCTATGCTGTGAACACGGCTTGATCTAATGAGAATGAATTTTTATACATTTTATACATAAGCCCTTTAACCTCTTATAGGTTACCGGTTACTATGTCTACCGCTTATCGCCTAGGTTCACTTTGCAAGAGTAGGTTTATGGAAATTGACCCTAAACTAGAGACTGTCTCTGAAACAATCCCATATAACTTTGAGTCTTATGTTCTAACGGATTAGGCAGCAATCAAAATAACATAAAATGGTAAATTTAGTTACCAGTGAATGTAAAACAAATCTATTTTGAACCCTATAGTTTTACCGTCGGGTTTAAATGATGGATTGCTTTACTCGAGTAGTCTACCTATTAAGCCTTAGTTCTGCCCTACAGGCGACCAGCTCACTTAAACTTTAATTTTTCTACCTCGATTCATTTTTGAGAGTTAATAGCCCCTTTTAATCTATAAAAACAAATTTTCATAGCTCCTATAGGTGGTAACTAATGCAAGCCTTGCGAAAAAAAATATTATTATATACCAAATGATAGCGGTACAAAGATAACATTAACAATTAGTAAAATATTAATATAGTATTACTCAAGGTACTTCTACGGAATTCTACTCCAATAGCACTACTGCATACAGTGTGCTGTGTACTTCTAGAAAACTTTCTATCTCACTCAATGATAGGTAGGTACTCCAAGTTAGCTAAGTTTCAATGAACCAATCACCATGCACTCAACTAGCAAAAGATGACTTCTAGTTTCATACAAATAGTTACTAGTTTCACAAATGATTACTATTTCTACCAACTGTTGTTTAATTTTACTCTCTCGAGGTTAATTAAAAAGTTCTACTTTAGCAGAACGAAACTAACTAACTAGCACTCTAGTAAATAATGATTTGATGTATTTTATTTGTTATACTAATAATAGTTCCGTTGTATATTTTTTTTAACTTTTTAATAATATATTTATAAAGTAAATACTCGGTTTGCTCACTTTTACAACTAATAAAAAAAAGTGTCCTGGTAGAGGCTGTTATCATTGTTGGCAGTTTTAATTATTATTTATTAGATATTGCCTTCAAAAGCAGATCCTTGAGTTTATACTTCTCGTATTCTAGTATTACATTACTTTATATTAAGTAATGTTGATCTTACAGGTTTAAAACTTTAAGTACTAATATATTATAAACGACGATATAGTAAAGTAATAAAGTATAATATATTACAAAGAAAAAAATCATCGAGGAGTTAAAGCTTAAAAGCGCTGTATTTTTTAATTTGATAGCTCTTGAGTAGTCTCCAATACTCTATATAGACCCTTTTAATCTAAGCACTTTGCTCTCATGATTGGCTTGCTTTACACTTTACAATACTCACATATATAGACTTCGTCTGTTACAGGTAGGCCTAAATTTAGTGCATTTTTTTTATGGTCGGGTGTTTGTCCCTTGTCCTGTCCTTATTCTTATTTTCGTTCTTATTTAATATATACTTATTAAAATTTTGCTTGTAACGCTAGCTTCAAGTCCTATAGATCGAAAACATTGTCCTTGACTTGCTCATTTATAATACAAAACTTATATGTAAAGGCATCTAATAATTGAGATTAGATACCGAAAAAAGAAAAGTGGAAAGTTCCGGTTTTCTGTACCTAAAGGAAGGGGATTTACATCTTAATGAAAAAGATAATATCAAAAACTAACTTGTGAACTCGTAACTATGCCATTTGGTATGTAATGCAAAACATGAAAGCGCGTGATAATACGGGGTATTTATAAGTTCTTGCTACTTGATATAGGAGTAACCAATATTTACTTTTGTCTATAAATCCGTTGCAAATGAAGATTTTGTTTATTTTCACACAGCATTAATTATAGACTTTCTCTAAAAGGTCGAAGTGGCTACGATGTATACAATGTGACTAAAGTTGTGATATTATTGCTTACAAACATGTTTGACATCCGATTGAAACTGCCTCCTGGTGGGGTTTTATCCAACCTTACTAGGTGGCGGGTTAAACCACTAGTTACAAAAAAAAAGCTAGAAAATATAGTAGAAATTTACGTTAGGTATAAATAGAATAGTTTATAGTTATTTATACAATCAGATAATAGCTGCCTTTGAGTTTTTTTCTGTACGTACATTATTCTTTTCAGTGATGTTACTCTTATTTTTCCCATTTCCAAACACACTATGGTGTAAATGTATAAAAATTTTAATTTAGAGTTTCTCTTTCTTTTGCAAAGTTTTTTTTTGGTTCCTTTGGTTTGAATAGGGCCGGACTCTTTCAAAAGATTTCTTTTTCGCAGGTTGGTTAAGGTCTAGATTTTTACTCACCGTAGTTAAGGTGACTGATTTGTTATTAATATTAGTGCTTTTAGGTACTTGTTGAGGGAAGTAATTTTAATCATCTTGACTGTGTTATATTCATCGACTCTGATCGTGCTTGCCACAAAGTCTTTTTTTTGAAAAACCAAGTTTTCTAACAGGCCACAATTCAAGCTTTTTAACTGCAATTATAATATGGTAAACGCCAAAACCCATGTCTCTGAATAGTAATTACTTTTCCAGGATGAGATAGCATTCAGTCGTCATATACCTAGAGGCTGAAGTTTGTGACTTGTGAGAAGGGGAAGGGGGAGGGAAACAGAAAGGTAATTTTCATTTTTTACAAAAGTTAATGTATTCTAAAGAGGTGTGAGAATTGTGAAGATCCATGAGCAGTAATCTTCACTGGTCTTAAATGGTATATTGAACGATATCTCTAATGACAATAGGAAACAAATAGTCAACCAGCCAGATCTGTTGCCTAAGGCTAGGCTGAATTCGTGACCATTAGTTAAATTTTCTTTTGGGAAGTATAACCCGTAGAAATATATAAATGAGAATTTGTTCTTTCCACTGCATTAATAATGCCCCTAATGTTACTAGTTCTCCTCGTTCTCCAGAGGACACCTGAGCGACCTGTTTTTTACTTTTCGTAGTTACCACATTACAGGTTACAGAGCTGTCATTCCTCTGGTCTCAACAAGATTGTATATCTAATCAGGTCTAAGGCTTATAGTTGTCAACTAGAGGAACATTATTTTCAAAAAGTTATCCACACTTTGCTTATTATAAGCAGTACCCCTCATGAGACTAGTACTCTATTGTTTTCGTAATAATAACCCATTATGACGAGGCTTGAATCCTTTCATCCACTCAATACCTAAAAAATCACCTCAGGAAAATTGCGAGTATAAAAACAAGAAAATCTTACCAGCCATTTTATTTATACCCCAAGTAGGTTATATGCGTAGGTGTAATGTCTTTTAAAATACAAATCCTAGCATACGAGTTTGTCTGTATAACAATCCAGTAGTTAAAATTTTATCTTTTTAGATAATCTGCGAATTTGGCTTCCTCATTATCAGAATGTTGTTTTTAGGGAAGTTGTATATGTAACCACCGGACCAGAAAAATTCGGGCGCAGACGGGAATCGAATTCGCGATCTTGAGTTTGTGCGAGAAGGCTCCAACCTCTACGGGGGACGAGTCACACTTTCAGTCGATAAATTACATATATAACTTATGTTACTCATCCTTCCAAAATACTTGCTTAACCTCATAATTATGTCGGGATATTCTTCTTTTAATTTCTCCTTTTCTGCAATAGAATCTGGATCTACATATCTTTCTAAGTAATCAAGTTTAGTTATTTGAGAGAATCCACTTTGCAAAGTATTGCTATTAAAATAAGTTCTAGCAGCTTCTCTAGTATTGCAGTCTTTTCTCAAGCATTCTTTTATTGCTTGCTACATCCTTTGTCCTTTTACTTCCCTGTTTATCTTCCGAACGTATTTTCGAGGCAGCTAAAGAACGAATTTCAACTTAAAAGAACATTAGTCCTTAAAAGTACAGGTAGATTGAACTACTGGTTGAAACTACCCCCACTTAACATAGTATTACTTAACAGCGATAGCTTCACGAAAAACATTTTTAAATATTGAATTCCATAATGTTTAATAGAAAAACCTTTTGCTTGAACATAAATCACACGCAAAACTAACGGTAGCACAAAAGTAAACCAACATACACTTCTTGCACTAAAACCCTGGCGGGTTATTCAAACAATGATGGAAAAAATTTTACTAGTTTAGTCTACCTCTTGGTTGAATCATTCAACTTCTTCCCTATGTAAGTTTAGCTACTTAGTTAAGGGCAAAAGAGTGGCAAATACCACTAATTCTTAAGTGCAGCTCTTAAGCTTATTAAGAAATAAGAAAAAGGGTAAAAAAATACAGTTTTAAACAAATTAAATTAAAAAATTCCATACCCGAGCACAGTATACAAGGCCACCCTCCTGTGGAAAAGTGGTTTTTCTCTACCCCACTGTCGCTCGGGATGAAAGAGTAGCCATAGTTATATGTGCCCAAGTCCGTATTAAGCGGCTGCGCCCAGAATTTCCAAACATTTGTAAGTCATTTAAAGAGAAAACTCTCTTTTCACTCTTCCTATTTTCGCTTCTTTTGCTCGCCTACGGGCGCTGTATGCTTACGCTAGAACCCTAGCTCGATTAACAATCCCATTAAAAACCGTAGTTAGAGGGACTCTAATTTTAGGCTAAAATTAGGTTGCTTAAAAACAAGGAAAAGACCGTTTTGTCTTTACATAAACATTGTATTGGCGTATAAGAGCATCAAATTAATAAAATTGTATAACCTGACTGGATATGCAAATTAGTAAAGTGTACCTAGAACCCTTGGCATTGGTAAACTAAAGGCTGTTTTATTTTGGTTGTGTAGGATGATCTGTTCTATATATATTATAAATAAGGCAGGAACTCTTATTTATAATAAAAATTGGAGTCTTTGTAAAGAGGTTCCTTTAAATGAGCCGATATATTTGGCCTCGGTTTTCTACAAGTTAATTGGCGTAGTTATAGTATATTTTCTTTGCAAATTTTTTATTTTAACATTGAGTCATTAATAAATTTTTTTAATGTTTTAGTATTCATGCCATCTCCTCAAAAATTTCACCCTTGCCAGGATCCCAAGGCATTGAACAAATTGAAGCAGCATTATACAATATTTATTGCTTTCAGACTTTAACAGGTAACTTTTTATTGAATCCTTCTCAAACTCTACTTATTCTTTAAGAGGAACCAAATTTCTTTTCGCGAGCGATATAAAACCTTTAAACGCAGGCCAGATACTCAGAGTAATTATTGAGTTACAGGCAACTATTATAAAAACAACTGACCTTTTCATCTAGGGGATTTATGTCTTGTTTTGCGACTATGCTTTAAAAAATCCCTTTTATAGCTTGGATTGCCCCATAAGATGCGAGCTTTTTGATAAATATATGGACGACTTTGTCGACAAACTAAATACCGGGGTTACAAACAATTATTAATTTGTTTTACTAGGACTGAGTAGTCATTTGGATGTGCTCACATTTTACTTACAATACTTTAACAGAAAAGCTGCTTAAAAATTGCTTTAGCATATAAGTACATATTATTACTAATTTATAGTTATAAATCTTTTAATGAACTATAAGAGTTAACTAAGACGTAATTTTTTCAAAGATATTTTAATTTAAAAGGTGTTTATTGTCTAACTTATTGTTACTTCCTTTAGGGGACCGTAATATTGTAACGTTGTGGAAGGCTCTTACTTCATAGAAGTCTACTAATCCAGAAATAAATGCAACTTTTTTATGTGGTTTTATTCATCGCAACTTATAAAATAAAGTATATTGGTTAAAAAGTGGTTTACTGTATCGTTTTCTGTGCAAAATTAGTTTTTTGTCTCCTTGATTACAGTATATTAATAGTAGCTAGAGATAATTGAGAAAAAAATTATATAACCAAATTTTTTGTACTCGCCCTCAACATGTGATTGACAAGGAAGCGTCCTTAATTAAATTTTGTTACAAATTTATGGGGGTGAGGTTGACTACGCAACCCATAACGAAAAGTGAGCCGCGTGGGTGGATCAAAGTCACAACCACGTGTTTGCGCGTTAATGTTCTTAACCATCGAACCCGACGGCCGTTGATAACTCGCGCCAACCGTGTGATATCCTTATAGCAAATGTTATTAATAAACACCAATTAATATATTTCAATGCAGGTTTTAATAAAACTTGATTGATAATACTGCCTATTTTTGTAAAATTTATCACGTGCTTTCAAAATTTATTTTTTTTAAATAAAATTTTATGGTTAATAAAGAAGTAACCTGTTTACGAGCACCGGGGAACGCCTTTTATAAATAAATGTTTACTTGATTTTAATTGCTCTTTGGTTGTTTAACCTTTGCTTGTTTATTGTCTACGGCCTGGCATTTTAATGAAGAATTGCATAGATTGTGTTTAAAGAAATACCTTACAGGTTTTCAGCACTCTAACTGATAGTTAAAAATAATCCATTAGGTAGCAAGTGATACAAAATATTAGGGAAAACAAACTAATAACCTTGCAAAAATGCGCCATTGTTGACCACGTTCCTTTGAAGTTCAGAGAAGACAAGCTCCCGCGATAAAGTCATTAATATTGATCTGCGACTAATGACCAGAGTATTTTATTTCGTGAGCAAGGACAGGTTACAGGATGGTCATAAGTTCTGAAACTACTGTTACTTTTGGTTGCGTTAGTAGACAGTTGAACCAACCCTGTTTTAAAGCACGCTTTAGGGGGCCCCATGATGCGCTTTAAGCGCACGTCTATTGTCTCTAAATCTCTGTACACTTACATGTATATGTACGTACAGAAGATGCGAACTACGCAGAGTAATTTAAGTTATCAGCAAAACTAAGCAGTCTGCGCTCGATTTTACCAGAGCATAAGCACAAATCAATAAGAAAAGTTTAGCCAGTGCACTTTGCTCCAGGCCTTAATAACTTTATTATGCAAAAACTGTACTAAATAAAAGCAAGTTGTACTAACAAACCAAAGTAAAAATTCGTACAACTGCAGATCACAAGAAAACTAAAGCATGATCAGGGGGAAGTATAAACAAAGTAATCTTATAAGCTGAAACACTATTTATTAAAAGTACATACTTCATAATGAAAAATAGATGCTATATTATTGGTAAACACCTTTAAATTCTAGATCCTGTTAGTGAAATCTATTTCTTTTCTAATGGAAATTATTTTTCCTACATGTTGGAACTCAGCTACTTCCTTAAAAAGGTTTACTTTAGGCAGTAGTCTCGATAAGTTCTGTTCTTTAACCTACAGAGGTATATTAAAGAAAAATGCACAGCACAAACAATATTAAACAATAATTATAATAATAAAATCTACGAGGGGTTCTCTGCGTATTAGCTTTGTTTTAAAGCCAAAGCGCGGAGCAATACGACGATAAAGTTTTCTAAGCGTTTCTATAGGAACATCCTTAAATTCAAATAAAACTTTACAAGGAGGAATTCGAGCATACCAGTGATCCACAGAGCTATTTTTCTAAGTGTATATAGTTCATCAAATATAACAGTTAGAAACAGAACAACCCTTTTCCTCTGCCCCTTCGAACATCGCTGGGGCGGGCAGATGCGGGCACATTGGTAAAAACTCGAGTCCAAAACTACGCACAGGCAACAAAGATGAGTTAAAAATATATAAAAAATTATTTTAAGTCACCTTTTTCTTTAGCGCTTTCATCTCTTTATGAATTATATCGTGTACTACTATTAAGGCCCTATCTTAATGTTAATAAGAAATATATATTTTAAAAATGACTTAAAGCATTTATTAAACAAAAATATAATTCTTAAATTTACAATTTGAATCATTATAAATAAACAGATTATTATTAAGAACCAAGAAACTATAAAAAAAATTAAATTGTAAAAAAACAAATTCTTTTCTTTTAAAGTATAAAGTTTATAAACTACTTTCCAAAAATTATTTTAGTAAAAAGGTAATCTAAATAAATTCTGAACCTTTTAAACGGCCAGCTTCTACAGCCTGGATGCCAAAATCCCCGAAGGCAACAAATTGCCTAACAGGCAACTCGCGTACACGACCTCTAAATTTCGTGTTTATCTTAGTCAAGTTCGGAACAGTTTTCAACGTTTTCTAATTAAACCAAAGTTTTCTGTAAACAACTTACGATTTTATTACAAAGAGCGTTATTATAATTATTAAATTACATATAGGATCTATTTCTTTTATAAATATACGAGCAAGTACCTTTAAAACATAATTAATACAGTAACTACTACTAAAATTTTTCATGTCTTAGAGATGCACGGCAGAGTTGTTAAATAAACACTAACCAGGAAAAAGGGCTTTAGAGTCGCACTCAACCCCCACTATTTTCTCCATTCCTAGCATGAGGAAAATTCCTACATGGTGGTTTACAATGTAAAGCGGAGAGTTACAAATATAGCAGGTGATATGTTGAACGATAGAGTAAGCTGGGTAGATGATCCTTGATTTGTGTGCAACAACCAACTATAACGAGATTGCAATCTTGAACTATTCAAGCATCCTTATAAAATTTCATGGAACTTAATTTTATTGTATAATTTATTTATTAGATTCTAATGTATTGTATAATAACTTTCATTATATTGTATTCTATTTTAAATTTTATAATATTTTATTATTAATTTATATTTTATATTGTTATATTTTTTACTTTATTCATTATTTAATTAGATTAAATTTACTCAGATTTAGTTTATTTTTGTGATTTGTATAAATTTATTTTGTTTTATTTGTATTTCATTTATTAGATTTATTTATAGCATATTTATTTCTTATATTATTTCATTCCGTTTTATTTAATTAATAAAAGTACATAATAGTAAGTAGCACGTGTGTATAATAACTTTTAGATCGGTAAGGGCGTGTAAAAGTTTATAACCAGTTTACAACTAGTTTATATAGTATAAATAGCGAAAATAATAGTACCCGAACCTCACTGGAGTACTTACCAAACTAACTTTATGAATATGGTTATCCGGCTTAAATCTAATTTAATTCAGGCACGAGCGATACTGTAGAGAGACGAAGGCTTCTTGCTACGTGTCGGAAGACATGCTCTTAAACTCTTGGTAAAGTGGCGCACGCAGAGAAATCTGTAGGCAGGCACTACATTCCCTGTATCAGCAAGACTATTGCTATTTTCTCAAACTTGAATAAGGTTTACTCATCCAAGTACTAGCTTCGACGCTATGAGTTTTGTCGTATTTAACAACCCTCTATAACTGTAGGGTCCTTTGAGCTTAAGCGAAACTAATAGTAACCGAACCTCACTGGAATACTTACCAAACTACTTCTATGAATATGGTTACCCGACTTAAATCTAGTTTGTTTCAGGCACGATCGATACTGTGGAGAGAAGTAGGCTTTTTACATACACGTCGGAAGACGGGCTCTTAAATTTGGTAAAAACAACGTATAAACTAGGTTCATTTAGGCAGGTTCTACCTTACCTGTTGTCGATGGAATTTTGCTATTATCTCGAGCCTAACTCTATCTTTTGGTTAGGTACTGCCATCGTCGGCACGAGCTTTGTACAAAATATCTAGGCCACTGACCTTGTGGATTAAAATAACTTACTATCCAACGCGGATTTTATATACTAGCGTTGTGGACGATTGGGTCTAGTAGACTAAAACGAACATAATAGTACCCGAACCTTGCTAGATTTCTCACCCAACAATTGTCATGAATATGGTTGCCTGAGATAATAGCAACAGTCTTACTGATCCTAGGAATGTAGCACTATCTATAGACTTATCTGCTAACGTGGTTTTTACCATTTTAAAAGCGTATCTTTCGACACGTAGTAATAAGTCTTCGTATTTCTGTGGTAGCATAAATACCTCGATTCACCTCGCTAAAGCAAGGCAACCATAATCACTGCGACCGTTTTGCAAGTATTCCAATTAGGTTCGGGTACTCGACGCTTCGCTTAAGCTAACAGGACCCGTTCGTCATAGAGGGTTACCAGACACTACAAAGGTTTAGATTCTGTACACATCCATGCCAATCCATCTACTCTACGGATGGTTCCCAATCGTCTAAATTCTGTCAGACACGTATCATTAAACTCAAGGAATAACACACGTAGCAGTAGCGTTAGGAAAGGGTCCGATCTTTTTCGGACGCTATACGATGATGGTCTAGGGGTAGTCATCATACTATTTTATAACAAGCTTGTATTCATGACTTTGAGGCTATAACATTTCTTAGACCTGTTTGAGGGGGAATATGACTAAAATTGGAGTTTATTTGATTAATTTGTTAGGTACTTAATTTCCACTATGCTAATATAATATTTGTTAACGTTACTTTTATATTGCTACTGCTTCTTTGTTGATAACTGTGTTTAATAAAGCACACCCTTCTCTTTGAAGATGCGAGCATCGTTAAGAAACCGCATCTTCACTTAGTAGTGGGAATTTAGATAGAAAAGTACAAAGCAAGTATATGAAAATACACAAAAAAATTATAAAAGATAAATATTTACTCTAATTACATAAAGTATATATATTCATTGTTTGTTAAAGTGATAGTAAGATTTTAGTAGTGACAATTAATAAAGCTGATTACGACTTCTTGCGTAAACTGTTGAAAAAAAAAAATAATTACAAACGAGTTTAAAAAAGTGTATAAAAATATAATAAATACAATTTGTTGCTTTCAGCAAATTAATTTTATTCGGCGTCTTTTTAGGTCAGTTGTGTTTACCCTCGCACGTGGTATAAATTGAACCTCAGCTATCAGTAAAAGATTTAAAACAAAATGCTTTTTGTTTAGGTGGAACAGAGGTTCACACACTCATTCTCATGACCAAACCGAAAAGGCTGTTCCTGACCCCTGAGAGGGACCTAATGATACCAAATTCACCCTAACTGCACAGTTCATCAAGTATGCAAAAGCCAATTTAACTTGTTAGTTATCTTTCCTTCCAATTTAAAGAGTGGGCCCCTATCATAGGTGGGGTGAAAGTCACTTAGTAAAATATCGAGTCCTAACATGCAGTACTAAAATAAATTGCTTTTAAACACAGAAAAAGGAGGACATTTGTTGTTTTCTATACTTTCTCTTTTTAACGCGAATTTGAAAATACAGAAAAAGGGGTTGCTAATACTAAAAGATGCTTTCGTCCCTAACAAGCTTTATGATTTATAATAAAGAGAATCATAATTAATAATATGCATCACAAAATCAGAAAAAAAAGTTGACAAAGATTAATAGCCTTTTTTTCATCACTGGAAACTTTGTTTTAACTTTTTACTCATTTTAAAGTGGGCAGTGTTTAACTACTTGGAAGCTTTTCCCTACGTTTCATTATACCACAATTTTTTTGAAGCAGTTTGTGGAGGCAACTTACTCGTTTTATCTCCAGGAGAAAGCGTTTAAAATTTCTTTATTTTGGTCCGCCGAAATTTGATTAGTAATTTAAAATTGGGGGGTGGGAAGTTGACAACTTTCTCTTAAAAAACCGTGGCAAACGGATAGACCCTTAAAATAGCTACTTCGAACTTGGTGAAAGGTAGTTTAAGACATAAGTACGAGAAAGGTTAGTTGTTATTTTTTTTAAATATTATTTACTCAGTATTGTATGTTTTTCTGTTAGTGCCTCAATTAAAAATTTCAATTTCTTCAATTTAAGTTTGGTTTGGGTGGTGTAGTCCGGGGAGCTTTTTTTTTAAAATATTTTGTTGAATTTTATAGGCAGACATTAAAAAAACGACCACATTTAAACTTTCATCGAGGCTAAAGTTACGTTGTAAGCAATGTGTTTACGTGCTCAAAACATTAAACCATTATCTTTTTGCGTAGTCCAAGATTAATTACTAGTCATCGGAAAACTTGCCTACGGAAGAATTTTATAGTTAAGCTCTGCCAAAGAGTAGGTTAAGGTCGTTCGAAAAAGTTTCAAATTCTTTGCTTAAAAGCCAATAATTTTAAAAAACCTGCCGTTCCAGCAAACCTCCCTAAATACTCACTTAGGAAAAAAGCTAAAGTCTTAGGTTGTTTGACTTCATAGTTTACGCTCACTCATATATATATATAATTTTACAAAGTAAGAAGAATATTATCAATTCATTACGTTGTTTACATAAGAAGGGCCCACAATTCCATCTCTCTTTGTAATTAATAAATAAGTTATAATAGTTTTTTCTGTAAAACTTGGGCCGACTGTCAGTCAAAAACTTCGTATATATCCGTAAACAAGCATTTCTTAGAAGTAGTAGTCATACTTTTCTTAAAATACCCCTACCACTTTATAGTTTTAGCATTATAATATAATAATATTATATGTCCAATCAATGCCTTATTACATATCAAAGAGTACTTTTAAAAGGTATTATGGAAAACAGATTCCTGATACCATTTAGTTGACTCTAACAAGTAGCTAATGTCATGCACTCCGAATTTAAGGTGGCAAACAAAGTATTGTATGCATTGAAATTCCCCAGGCAGTCCGACTCCATTTACTTTAATTATGATGCGAGCGCGGTTCCCTTTGACTCTAATCTAAAACTAGACACAGTAGAAATTTTATTAAAACTTTCTGCTCTATCGGATTCTCTGTGCTGTGCAGGGGTTGAGCCACTTTATTTACCGCAAGCGTTACGTCAAGCCCACTTAAATTTTACAAATAGTAAGGCGGTTTGACCCCGTTTTTGTTTCACAGGTAATAACAGCCGAGTAATTTCGGGATTCACCGCATATAAATATAGTACTAGTAGCTAACATTATCTAGCAACACACTGATCAACCCGCTATTGAGATGGGTCGAATGCGTATGTTTCTAGCATCAGTCTAACCACAGTGTTCGTTAATTAGCCAAACGTTCTGTGACTGTTTTGATGGCTTCGGAACAAAGAATAGTGCTAAGTGTCATCACTTATTAAACACTTGCTCGCAAACACTTTCGTCCGAAACTACTTGCTGCTTAGTAGTAGTGTTCTATACAACTTAGCATGTCCCACTGACCACCAAGGGTTTTCCATGATCTTTTTAGGCGACATATCAAAATATTTGGCTGCGAAAGACAATAATAGTGCTCAACGCGAAGGTTAATACTCAATTAGCTTAAATTTTTA